TTTATGATGCTGACATTCTTCATATTTTATTGGCGCTTATTTTCCCATCAGCACTAGCCAAAATATAGATCATCTTTCCGTTTAATAAGGCACTCAAGACAGTTTCGTAAATCTTTATTATATACGATTTTGGAGTTGTGAACAAGTTTAGATTTTCTAGTCAAGCAAATATGATGTAAGGGTGGTTAGAAAATTTATGGGCAAATATAAGTAAAACTTTGTAATTATTTTCTGCACACTTTCGGAGAGGTTTCAAAAACCTGAGTTTTTTGTCTGAGTTTTTTTTTCCAAAGCATACCTATAAAAATTTCAGATCGCTGAAATTGCTGTTGCGTAGAATTCGATCACGGACAACCATTTAAAATTGACATTACAAGACTTTTTCCAACTTCTGAAGTAGCTAAAATGTGTGTTTTTTTCAGGCACCACAACCGACTCGATCGTGTTGCACTTGTACCTTTTATATAAATAGTGACAATTTTTTTATGTATGTTTGAAACTTCCGAAAATTATAAAATGTAAATCCCTGGCGCATACATTAAAGTCAAACATTTTTGTTTTGATTTAAGATTTATTGCTTATTTATAAAACTGATTTAAGACTTGCGTCATGCATTTAATAATTTAATTATAGGATTTTTTTTATGTTTTCGTTTTTTTTTCTGAATAGTTTAATTTAAATGGACTACATGTGCTTTTATGTGTCGAGATAAAATCCCTCGACGAGTGGATTAGTTAGGAGTGTGGCGACAAGGCGAAACTTTCGTAGACGGAAACAGGAACAAAAAGGAAACGAATGTCATCAGGGATGACGCAAAATTCGCAACAGTTGCACTCTTCCCCCATCCTGAGGTGAATCGTTGAACACGATTTAAATTTCTTCCCCCTAGTATATCAAGACGATATATTTATTCAGGATGTGGTGTTTTTGAGTAAAAAATGAGATGAAGTCGGAGGGTAGAGATAATTTTTGTGTATTTTTTGACTTCTTATCTCGTTTTATATTATTGAAAAATTTCAGTTTACAAATTCATTTTAGTTTTATGAGAGTTATTTTAGTAAATATGACAGTGAGCTAACCCATTTTGAGTCGTATTTCACACACATTTCTGATTCGTCGAGGGTTTAACTTTAGTTCATTTATTACGAGTTTGTCGTTGCTTCTTTTATCTCAACTTAACAAGCGGTGCGTGATTTTTTTTGTTTGTAGTCATTAAAAGTTATAAAGCGCCTGTTACACGCTACACTTATTGAAATAAGCGTTCGAACTTCAAAAGTTGCGTTTCTTTGAAGCGTCTACGAACATATTTACAAATAAATTTTCTCAGTTTAGTTGCCGCAGGATCATTTGTAAAAATTTATTTAGACGTGTGATTCACTAATACAAAGCTGCAGCGGTGTCATCAACGGAAAAAGCAACATCTGTAAACAATACTGCAATTTTAAAACGGGAAAATTGGACTAACGTTATTAAAGAAAAAGCATAGTTGTGGTAAAGTTCAAAAGTTTTTTATTGGGGGAAACTGCCATGAATACCAAATTAAATAGCAGACTTTACAAGTCTTTGCAATTAGTAAAAATTGGTTTTGAGTTTATTTTTAATGTTTAAAATATTCTACAAAGCCAAGGCGAAATGTTTAACTGGGGATTGGAGTTTGGGGGAGTTTTTCAGCGTCTGATGTAAAAACGATGGTTTCATTGCAAGATATTGTTGCAGTAAAACTGGGGGTTTATAACCCGACACGACAGCGCGCCGGATTAAATGCGAAAATATTTAACAGTTAGGTTTCCATCGGTAGCTGTTTTTCACCTTCACAACTAGGCATAAGAGACAATCACATCACTGAAGTTTTTGAAACGTTTTAAGCCGCAGATTGTATATCTACTTTAGTTTGTTGAATTGATTATGTGCAATTCTAAAGTCAAGTTTTCCTAAGAGTTTTACAGAACATTGTAGGTATTTGTTGTTCGTGCAACAAGTGTACGTTTTGATTTTGTTTTTTATTAATAAAAAAGTAAATGTATGATTGTAAATATTTGTCAATTTGCGCGATTGTTAAATTAGCTCTAATTTATTGCAATGGCTAAAACTTTCTGAACTATGAGGAAGGCAAATAGTTTTATTTAGTTTAACTTGTATCTAAACACCAAAGTTGTTTATGCTTCATAGTGTAAGGCTTAACAGAAGTTTGTACGACGTCCCTTTCACAACTTCAAAGTTACGGTAACTGAAAGGACATTTATATGTATATAAATTTGTCAGCATTTCACATAAGCAGTGGTAAGGGTTTGTTGGTTTTTGGTATACCAGGTTGTTATGCTGCCGCTGCGAAAACATAATCTTAGTGTTGTAATATTAACGCCTATAACACAAGAGTGGACAAGTAAATTGAGTCTCTTGTTTCTACTTAACACTTAACTTAAAGTTTGTTTTCAATTAAAGTATGTTTTAATTTTTTTTATAGAGTGGAAGACAACTGGTGTGGAAACATTTTTGAGATATTTTAATTGATATTTTTTGTTATAATATATTCTTAAAATTATCTTTTGAAAGAAGTACTTCAATCTACAGTGTTCAAAATTTTGGGTAATATGTATAAAAAGTTAGGTGAAGATGTAAACTAAATTTTATCAAATGTCTATTTGCCATTTTTTTTTAGGAAATATGAATTACGGAGAATTTTTTAAGACATACATATTTTCTAATATAGGGCTATAATCTCTATTCCAAATTTTTGAGTCTAACTTTGCGCAGTTGCTTTGGTCGCAACGTTCGCATTGTATTAAATTCATAAATATTCACCATATCCGAATCAATAGCACCCGGGGTTAAATACATTTGTGGAAGTATATAACGAACCAATATCTGAAAATTATCAATTATTATTGGCTTATTCAGGAATCAAATAAGGGCTCGTATTATGATAAAATTTATCGAGAGGTTTGTGTATTTCAGGATCAGCTCTATTTTAGTGGGTTTCGACCGTAATAACTAATAACGATTAAATGGTTTATTTTAACTTGGCCGCGAATTTTGTAACATGTAAATTCACAAAGGTTTGAACTAAAGCGTATTTGCTTTGTTAGTTTTGCATGAACATTACATTAATTATGTTAGTGTGATCGGGTGCAACATGTTTTAGCAACACTGACATTATTTTTGCTAGAATATGAAATCGAATCGTGTTTGACTGGGGTAAACAGGTCGACGTTGGAAGTTTGGTAAAGAAAATATTTGTGAGTAAGCAAATTTTGACAGGTTCGTAAAAACATATAGAAATTTATTTTTTGACGTTAAATTTCTATTAAAGTGCGAATGCACATATAAAGACTTTCTTAGGTCGTTTTTTTGTGATAAATTTACGATGGATTGAAATAAAACCATAATAAAGCTTGGAATGACGCTACTAAATTGAATTTGTTAATCATATTAATAAGTCATATTTAATTTAATCGAAATTGGAATTTTGATTGGAATTTTTAATAAAAGCGTTTTTTCCGATGAGTTTTATTGTCTTCTTTTTGCGTCACTGTGAGAGATAACATGCCGATATTAAAGTTTTTTTAATAATGAAATCTCAATAAGCCTAAAGCTCGATGCTCAATAAAAAAAGGGTCGCAATTATTACATTGACTTTTCATTTTCCTATAAATGTCTAATTTAAAAGGGGGCATTGTATTTATTTTGATGAAAATTCTATCTCACGACAAACAGTGTTTCGTGTTACGGAATCAAAAGATAATTATAGTTTATGGTTCGGCTTTACATGAAATAAATTTATGGCTGATGTAATTTATGCGATTTTAGAAAATTTATTATTCCTCGATCCAAAAAGAATGTAAACCATTAATCTGTCATTTGTTTGGGGCTTGAAACCGAGTTTTAAACTATCGATTGCTGCACCATTATGACAGGTAATTATCACAATTATTGTGTTGTCAATTAGTGTAATGAAACTTGGTAATATCGGCCGTATCCTGCCGAATAGAAACTCACAATTTTGCATACGAGTATATTGGTTCTTATCTATGATACGGTTAGCAAAAATGAAATAAATGTCCCGGGAGATAAATTTTATCGGGAAAATTTAGAGGATATGGTAACAATTTTTTTTATGTGCTAGGATGAGCATGTAAGCTGATTGCTAAAACGCTCTTTCATTCACCACGAAAGAATGTGACTACCATGAATTATTTACTCGGGAAAATTGCGGTTGCATTAAACATTGCAGTAAAATATTTACAAGTATTTGATGCAGAATGCAATTTTCTCGAGAAATTTTCACTCAGAAAAGGGAATTGATCTTTTTTTTTTAGCGAACTTGTTTTGGTTCATCCGACTTTTATTTGAGAGTTGATCTTGATGTTTGAAAGGAACAGCGTGACATGTGATTTTTTCAAAAGCACTTGGGCTTTATGTCGGGAAAATATTGATGTTGACTTATACTTTTGAGGATTTTGCAGTGGTTACTTTTTGAAGAATGGAATGCTAGTTATTTTTTCGGTATTTTCCACCGGATAATTACGAGACATAATTTAAAATTCAGGTATAAATGGAGACCATATCTGGAGGTGATTCAGTCAGAAAATCGAAATGAGCAAAAGCGCAGGAGTGGAATTATTAAATAGTGCCGCGGTTTCGAGTTTATTTTCTTTTATTCTCCATTTAAAATTACTTCGTTCATCTATATTTCGCCAAAAAGAAAAATATATTTTTAATCAAAGGAAACGTTTCGTTTTATTTCCACCGGTACAATAAAAGTCCAAACTTCCAAATGTTGTGTTTATTAACTGCGACATAAAGACGTAAATATTTCATAATTGTAACATAAAGTTTGTTTGATGCCACCGTTTAGTAACTGGACAAAGAGTGCTTTAATGACTTTTTTTACGAATATATTAGTTTCGGTCGTAAAGTGGCAATAGGTGAACAAGCTCTCGTAAAATTTCTAACGTAAACACATAAAGATGACGAAATTATGTGATTTTTTTTTGTTTCAGACCCCTATCCCAGTGAACAGCAGAGGTACGACGAGATGTGCGCGGGTCCGGGTTACGGAGAACCTTTTGGGACGGAAACGTACCGGAAAAGCGCCCCTCCTGTCACCGCCGAGTACCGCGATCAAAGGAACACCCATTTCCAGCAGCCCGGAGCCGTCCTGATGGTGTATGGTTTGGATCCACTACGCACCAACGCGGACAAACTCTTTAATCTCATGTGCTTGTATGGAAATGTCGCTCGGGTTAGTGTTTTATGTTGGCAAGTGTCTTATCCGAAAATATAAGACGGTGTTACGTGATAAAGTAGGGTTTATTATATAAGGATTGCCTCTCACCCTCGTCGTGACACATCAATCTTTCTTAAGGGGCGATCTGAGAAAGTTTACACGGAGCGAAACTACATTAGATGAATTAAGTCGAATTTAATTTTGACGTATTATGGTTATGTTATTATTTTTCATTTATTTGGTTAAGAGTGATGAGTGGCTGGGGATTGCGAGTAAAATGAAATTGGAGAAAATTATTTTCCCCAGTTGGAAAATTAGACTCGTTCTTATTATGTATTGTGAAAATAATAACTTCGTTGTTGCATGTGCATATAGTATTGCATCATTTGCAAATAAACTTCAGCCGTTTGGTGCTATTCACATATTCATTATTCGCTCCATGGGGTGGAAATAAAAGCAATATTTACCCACAATGGAATTGGAAATGAAGAACGTTAATTTTGAATATTTTAATTGTTTAAATGCAATTAATTACATTAATTTTTCAGTAATAAGCGTAGCGTAATTAAAAAAATTAAATATTGATGATATTGTTCGGTTAAATAATTGTTAAATTGGACTAAGGCCGACATTTTAGTTACATTATTATTAATCTACAACTGATACGTACTGAATTTTATGCATGGCGACTTTTAAAAAAATATTAAGCAATTAGACGCCAATATCTTATTACTTACCAGAGGTAAATGAAGAAGCTGGGGGTTGCCTTATCAGCTGGCCCTTCAAATAATTTTTGGTCATTTTATGATTTATATTAAAAGAACTACATTTTAGGTTTTTAAAATGATATTTTTTACCAAACTACACATTGGGACCCGACACGAACTTGTACAGCTGTTGTGAATATAAACCTCAATTATTTTTATGTATAAACCTGTCATTTTATTTTACAATTCTTTTTATACTGTTCATCTAGCTTAACCTCTATTTATTTTTTCAACTGTGAATAAAATTTTACTGTTTTCCCTAAAAGCTTTCGTTTCGCTTTATAATTTTAATAAAACAAGAACCACAGCGAAATTAGACTGTTTCAACATTTCTCGTTTTCACGAGTTCATATATTTTTCGCTCGAAAATTGTTTCTTGTTTAGCTTCATCTAGATTTATATTCATTAATTTTAACAATTATTATTAGTAGATAAGACGCTATTTTTAAATTTCTTAGTAGATTTTGTACAAATTTATATCAACCGTCCTCAAGCCGATATGTTTAATCTAATTTGAAAGCATTTTATTTCAGTTTGCGAGGCGTCACAGAGAGGAAAAATTCAATTTTCTCGTTCGGGTTAAAACAACAAGAGTGAAATGTAAAAACACGCTTTGGTCCTTGATATGTGCCCCGATGCTCAATTTTTGATGAGTACAAGCCCGGGATAAATTTTCTTAAATTCAGTTTACCCACATATAAATACCGGTTTTCCAATTTGGAGGTTTTGTAATTGAATTCGTTTGTTCTTGAGGCAGTTTTAGAAAATATTCTCTTGTCGAATTACACTGCCAAGATTTCTTATGGAGCGGAAAATGAAAAATAGAGTGGATGCGTCCTGCTTAAACCAATCTCTAAATAAATTATAATTTCGGCTTCGTTTGCGAGATTTAATTCGACTTCGAGTTTTTTCGAATAAAATACGACTGTTTGAGTCGACTAGCCAAATGCTTTCGTTTCAATTATTTCAAATTTATTAGAGACGAAATAAGAACGATTCTAATCTGAGACAAACTTTTCAACTCCACTTAATTCCAATTTAGCGTTCAACAAACAGTTGTCTTGTTATTATTTGTTAACTTATTTATACATCGGATAAAAATTTCAGTGAAGCTATTCTCGAATGTTTTACCCGTATTTAAAAATACAAAATATCGTTTCTCTGGGCGCTGCTAATTGTCGAGATGTCTTACAAACCGAGTTAAGAGTTGAAAGCTTCATGTTTCCAACTTTTCATCACGTGTCAAGCGTCGCCTGAGAATAGTACAATATAATAGCACTTTCTTAATTGAATTAATTTATTAAGAAACTTGTTTATAATTGATTTATTGGAGTGACTGCAAAGCCGGAAAAAGTATCCATTACGTTTTCTTATGTCACTTGTACCAGAGACAAGGCTTGATTAAATAATAATTACTGAAAGTAGAACGTGCTTTTGCTTATTTGTTTTTAGCCGATAGAAAATTGTGTTTACGTTTTTACAACTGGAATGCTCGTAATCGTAAAAATTTAATGGAAGCACTTTGCAATTAAAGTTTGACAATACGAAGTGTTAAGTTATTTTCAATCAAAACATTTTTCTAGATAAATTTAGAACGGATTTATTTCGCACAACTGAGCCAAAAGTTTTTTTCGCTGTATTTATTCTGTAATTACAGTAGAACATACTGCAGAGTGGACGAGTTTGAATAGTTTTGTTTTTATTTTTCAGATAAAATTTCTCAAATCAAAAGAAGGCACTGCCATGGTGCAAATGGGCGACAGCGTGGCAGTGGAACGATGTGTTCAAAATTTAAACAACGTAACCGTAGGTCTAACTGGTGCCGCGCCCTTATCACACCACAACAACGTCAAAGATGAGAAGAACAACCAATCCGAACACAAACTACAACTCGCCTTCAGTAAACAGCCCTTTCTTAGTGAAGTAACAAATCCCTATCCTTTACCTGATAAGTCACCGTCGTATAAAGAGTACATAACAAATAAGAACAACAGGTTTATGAACCCAGCGATGGCTAGCAAGAACCGCATTCAGCCCCCGAGCAAGGTAAGAACAGGTCGGCATTAATCTGTGGACATAAGACTCCAGAAACAGATTATTATTGGAATATTTTGATAGGAATTCGTATTTATTTTCGTTGCATTTTTTGCTGCAGTTTCTGCATATTTAAAAAATGTCAAAAAAATGCATTTGATGCCTGCTTGCATTCGAAAGTAAATAAGAGCTGATATTAAAAGCTTTTAGAAACGTTTAGACTATTAGTTTACAAAGTTGACAAGATGCGAGAGGTCTATTACTGTGCTAATAAATACTTCATTTTTTTTTCTACGGTTACTACCGCAAAACTAGACTTTTTGTCGTTAATATATCTACTTGATGTTGTGCAATAACAAGGACTTGTTTTTCCCTTTTTTGGAAGGATTTAATTTTTTTAACGTTAGCTACGAAAATTATTGTTAAACAGTTTTTGGCACTAACATTTCAGTGTGAAAAATTTCTAAGTAAGAGAGCAAGTTCACTTCTTGTTTTATTCAGGGCAGCATTTATTAATTCATGGTGCGATAAAACTCGTTTCTGGACTCGTATTTAGAGCACTGAAAGTTCTCAGTGTAACAGACAGCCTTGTTAGTACAAAATTCATGAATTTAAGGCATTCTTGTTTTGTTTGTTTTAATTTGTCAAAAAAAAAAACACTTGTTTACGAAATATTTTCTGAAAAAAAAATCCTGACCTAACCTAATGACCGTTTTTTCCGATACAAAAAACTAAGCTCATTCGGATTTCATCGGAACATCGAGATTAGCTCTTCCCTCTTGAATTATTGAAACAAACATCGACCTCTACCACTCTTCGTTAACAAACCCCACTATCTGCTTTAACCCCGCGTTATTCGATTATATGTAATCCTGACTGTTTTTCGATGATGTGACAGATTCAAGCGTTACCGAAATATTTTGATTCTTTGATCGTATTTTCAGATGTTCTTTTGAAATAATGAGATACACCCTTCCATTAACAGAAAATGTGCTAAATTAGATTAGTAATGTAATGTAATGCTAACGACCTGATGCGAGTTTGTGAGGTTTCAAACCTTTGAATTCAGGTGTATAGTGATAGTCGTAAAACTATGGGGTGAAAACGTTATTAAATATTTGATGAGATGTAATTTTCTTGGCATAAAATTCGAAATGTGGAATACAGTGATGCATCGCAGACACATTGTGTCGGAAAATATTGCATGCACAATTGTTACGATTTTTCAAATAAATTGAAACAATGACTTTAATAAATGTATCGAATACAAAATTGAGAGTCACGACAAAAATGTATAATCTTCATTGAAGAGAGTAGTTTTGTTTGAAATGTGAATTTCCACCATACCATTTGCGTGCTCTAGGAAGCTTTGTAGGGCTTTGTAAAGCTTGAAATTCCTATGTATCAAAGAGGATAATAAATTAACACTGGAAAACGCGGGTTTTCCTAAAAAAAAATATCGATGGCTAAATAAACAGCTTCGATTTCTGTAAAATCAAATATTTATTTGCCTGTTACGTACTTGTAGGGGTTGTAAACTCGATGAAATTCACGCCACTTATATGTTTAGACGCAATGGAAATTTAAAACGAATGTTTATTTTGATTATTAGTGTTTTTTTAACGATTTTTAAACGATTAAAGTGCATGTTTTTCTTAAGTATCTGAATAAAAAAGTAATAAATTACAATCGCGAAAGTTGTTACTTGGAGTATGTGCTTATGTGATGTTTTAATTAAAACTTTGATATACTCGACTACAAAGCGTTAGATTTAATTCAAACTTATTAATAGCGATTTCTGTCTTCGTAATATAACAATATTTTACACGACTTTTAACTTAGAAACTCAAATTAATTAATAACAGCAATGAAACTTTGATCAACGTTTTACGAGTAATTCTCTTCTAGCAGTTACGGTAAATATAACAAAGGAAACTAACTGAATAATTTTTGCTTTTTTATGATATTTAAGTTGAAAGTTTTTACAGATATTATACCGATGAAACAAAATAGCCGGAAATATATTGAAATGTAGCAATGACTATTTTTATTTCTCTTTAAGAAAAAATGTTTCAGTCGTACAACAACTGCGTTTTCTGTTATCGATCGCCCAAACTGGACCAGCTTTTCCTTGTTTACACCGGTTTTTAACCTTGCCATATTCTGTTTCTTTAGGAATACGATTTATTTTAAGTAATTTCAACTTTTCTTTCGGTTCTTTTCCAACTCTTGGGAACGTACTCGTATAAATCGTTCAAACTCTCATCCTTATTTCTCCTAATAAAGACACATATGATATTTATTTTGTACAGCATCTCGAAACTCTTCGTCCTCCGACGATAAAATATCAACTTTGTTGCATTCTTCAAATTTTTATTACTACTTATATGGTTCTCGAGAAATTTCATCGTTGCTTTCCGCTTCCAGATCCTGCATTTTTTCAACACACCACCACAAGTAACAGAATCAGAACTAGTCCAAGTATTTCAGGATTACGACGTCGTTCCTCCTAAAGCGGTAAAACTTTTTCCTATGAAATCAGAACGATCGAGTTCAGGACTTCTTGAGTTCGAAGACACCACAGAGGCTGTTGCTGCCGTGATGGCGTGTAATCACGCCGCCATCGAAAGTCCAGGTAAGAAGATTTTAACATAATAAGTAATTAAAAAAATGATGTGACACACTTCACTTGAGATTTTGAGGTCTAACAATACAGAATAAACTGTTTGAAATGATAGGACGTCACAAATTGGGTTCTGTAGGCGTCAGGAGGATAATTTGATTAAATGAACTGTGAATAATTATGCGGGTACTCAAAATGAAGGAATACAAGGGAATCGGGATGTAATAATTTGTAAATAAATTAAATGCCGGGTTTTGGAAAATCAACTAATTTGTTAAATTAATAAAAGGATAATCAAGGCTTATTACGAAAATCATTTTTGCATACCTAATTAAATTTTCAAAATACGTTTTAGAATAAATAATCATAATTAATTTTGCTTGTTGGTAGTTTTACACAAATTTAATTTGAATTAATATTTTGTTTTTGAAGAAACTTTTAGTGTGCACCAACACAAAATTTGTTTTGCATGACCAGTGAGTTAATTAAACATGTATACTTTAATACAACTAATGATTAATTAATACCAATATTATGTTACTTTCACTGCAGTGTAAAAATAAATTATGAGAAAAATTATTTTAACAAGCTAATCAATAAAGGAAAATTTAATAAATAATGCAAATATATTTTTGTTAATAATTTACTTAAGATAAAAGAATTTTTCGCAGTGACAGTTTTGTAAACACGCCTTTGCTCTGGATATTTCAAGAAAAACCCGTTGGAAAGTTGTTACTTGTATTTTATTAATAACGAATGCAATTAAATAAAAAGTGTTTGAATGCGACAGTTTAATGACTTGCGGCTGAATAAAACTAACAATGAGAACCAGTCGTTGTGTTTGGAATGCAAACATCCCAATTTAGTTGATGTCGGGAGTAAAAAAATCGAAGTGAAGTGTGTCACAATTTGTGGCGATGGAATTGCCTAATTGATTGATGTGTGTTATAGGCACAAAGTTCCCTTTCATAATGAAACTCTGTTTCTCGTCGTCTCGTAGTATGACAATTCGAAATGGTGACAACAATTCCAATGGAGCTGGAGAGAAACGTATAGAGTCTGAACATTAAATAGTAGCTCCATATCCCTTTAATATAACCGATACATATCCTTTCCATATACCGTATGTCCATGATACGTTATTACCGTTAGTTGAATTAAGGTACTTAAGGTATCTTTTTGATCAGTAGATTGAATCTCGTTAAATGAACATGTTGTTATGTTCTAAATGTTTTTTAATTGTTGATATTATTTATTTCTTTTTAATTTGTTATTGCCAACGTAATATTTCAAGTAGTAATTTTTCGATTCCCTAAAATGGACTAGTTAAATTAGTATTACTTACCTTAAAGAAATTGACATGAATGTTATAAAGATTTGTGTGCAACACGAGTTTTTAGGACAATTTTTAAATGTTTAATTGCAACGACATTAGACGTAATGTTTTTTAAATACAGTAGGTTATTTATTGTTAGAATGATGAAGTAAGAAATAGTACTGTATATTTTTATTTGCACTAATTATCACCCATAGTACTATAAAAACAGGTTTGTTAATTGTTATTTATTTTCGTCCATTGCTTGTAACATATCTTCTTTAATTAAATAAAGTTTATTTTCATTTCATTGATACGTTTTAAATATGTGATTATATTATATTTTTCGCTTGTGTATATAGTTTTGAGAATTTTTTTAGTTGTTACATTCGTATTGTAAATATTTAAATAACTGAAGTCAATATCTAATAACTCTAAATTCATTAAAATAATAAGCAGAAACTACGAAACTGAGCAAATAAGGAAATTTATCATATTTAGGAACATATCAATTGTACAATTAATAAGAATATTTTGAAAGTCTATTTTTTCTGTGCTTTGTACTTTTCATAATATACTTTGAAAGAAGGCTACTATGTTATCGATGAATCTAACGAACTGCTTATAAAATGACAGCTTCAGATTAAAGGCTTAGCTAATGACAGTTTCGTCTTGTGAATCTAATGTCACTTTAGTTAAATGTCTTCCTAACATATGTGTCTCAGTCTAACTAGGACCTAAAATTTGACAAAATTACGTTAGCTGGGACCGATCATGTGTTATTGATGTTAATAATAGTGTTTGTGTATGAGATATTAAGACATTGTGCAATAAAAGTTTGCATAGTTATACTTCGACCACCATATTCTTAATGTGTTTTTTCTCTTTTTTTTTTAATATGGTGTAGTTGATGATTTCAAAACATAAAAGACAAATAGTTAGTTCATATCACATAGTATTAATTATTCGTACTATAGATTTAGAGTTATTTTTAGTGTGCAGCGGTCTCTAGCTGACAAACAAACAACGGTAGCTAATCAGATTTATTCCGTACTTATGGACCAAAAAAAGATGGAATGAGATATTGTTATAGCCGGCTTAAGACCTTTGCATACTGCATACAGTTACTGTTGTAGGAAACTCAAAACTATCGATAGATATTGGTGATTTCTAGGTGATAAAGTGATTTTCATTGATTATATATTTTTTAGGAAAGAGTTCCGTTGAATGAACACATATCCAAAAAACTCTCTCAAGAAATCTATCACTAAGTGTTTATTTTTCTTTCGGCATGGCATATCAAATAATCAATGAAAAATCAAGCTCTTCATGTGTGTTATTAATTTTGTAGTATTCTATAAATTTGCATTCTATAATATATATGTCGTAACAAAACATTAGTTGAGTCAATTATCTGTGCCTATAGCAGTGGTAGTCTATCTTTGTCTATCACACTCTTACTCCAACTCTAAACCTTTACTACCTTGTTTCTCTCTGTGCTGTGATAAATTTGTCATAAATTAACTCCAAGACTGCGATTTATTATAAGGTCTACAAAGCAATTGTATATATAACCTTCTATTAATTACATAGGGATGACATTTATTTGTCACTTAGAACTTAGTTGCCATACCGATGCTTTTTCTCTTCTGTTTTTGTTCAGACTCGAATAAATTTACCTGAGAATTACTCGGGAGAGATCAACGAAACGCAATGATCGATAATTACCTTAAAATTCTCGAAAGTTTTCCCTTTGTGTTGTGATATGGAACGAATATTTTTTTTAAATTTATTTTATATCACAGAGGGAGACAAAACACACCATACCTACAATGCTTACACGTTCAAAAATACATCAACATGCGTACGTACAGACATGACAAGTTAAACATAATACACAAATAATATTAAGTAAATGTATGTATTTTCCGATGCTGTGTGTATATATTTAAATTATTCAAAGTATTATAATATACGCGTAATTGTATGCCAAATATTTTCTGGCATTTTATTTTTGTACATGTATTGTTCCCAAAAGGCAGTTTTTCATATTGAATTTTAAAAAATTATGTACATATTGGAACATACCATCTACAAGGATAGAATGGCTAGGTTCAGTATTACTAAAAAGTCAATTCGTTTTTTCGATAATGTAAATAAGTTATATTTCATCGCTGAAATAAGTAAATTAATTAATTACAAATTAATGTGTTTTTGAAGTGTAAGATTAATCCTTACAGCCATTTCCAACCTCTTCTCCTGCCATCCAATAAAAAATAAAACAATCAGAAAATAAAAAAAAAACATTTTTGTTGGTAAGTATACAATAACACCATAATGCGTTTCGTGAAATGACTAAATGAAACAGCTTTTATTTACAATAAATCTTTATTAAAAAGTGTACATAAAGTATTTAAACACTTTCTTTAACTTTGTAGAAAAATATTTCTGTAATTGTGTTCTTGTTGTACTTACCTAATATTGCATTGTTATTGTTATTCATAAAGTGTTTAAATACTTTGAAAAAAGCTTCGTACACTTTATCCAAATATGTATTAAGTAACAACCTTCACCTTGCGCTATAAAATGTATAATACACATTTCTACATATTATTGTTTTTACAAAAAATAGTGTTAGTTTTTATAACTTGCATAATTTTGTTCCTATCTACATTTCTTACAAAACATTTTTGACCTGCAAAAATGAGTTTCAACGATAACAATTTCATGAAGAACAATTGGGGAATTCATCTAAAGGACTAAATCGAAAATTTTGTAATTTGTGCGAAAAGCTTGTACAAAATATTGTAGAAAAAATCTTCCAGAAGAAGTGATATGTCTTTAGCCGCTCTTCAAGACCCTCTTTCCGGATCTCGATGGTTCTGATTGGCGGCTGGCACTTGTCTGGACCCTTCTTGCGCATTTGCTTCTAAGGCTTTAATTTTTTTATTTTTTTCTGAAATAAAAAATTTATTTTTGTTTTGATATTGTTAAATAGACTTACTGGCAAGTTTCACCATTATCACGCCCCACCAAATCGACCAACCCCACCCGACTAAACAAAACAAAACGGTAAAAAATTGTCCGAAACCAATGATCAAGTTGATGATAAAGGCACCAATGCGGGGTCTGGGGCCGTCTTTCTGGGAAAAGCGTGGTTTGCCGATGCATAAACAAAACATTCCGCTGAAAACGGTTCCTGGAATTTTTTCCATTTATTTTTAAAAAGTTTGTTTTTTATTTGGTACCTGTTCCGGGCGCAATACAGTTCATGACAAGACAAAACCAAGCTAAATATACTGGAAGAACAGGAATTGCCGCTTTCATATGAGACGTGTGTTCCACCAAACTTGCGTCAATTTTTGATTTAGTTTCCTAGAATTTTTTTTGTAAATTTACAAAAAACAATCTTAAAGGGTTACCTCAACAGGAACAGAAGGCGTTAAACTCTTCTTTTTGCTCATCATGGAAGCCCTTCTACTCTCTTGCGTTTCTTCAATTTTGGGTGGCGTCTTCTTTCGGCATTTATCCAAACAGAACATTTTTCTGAAAAACCCGGAACATCGCGATCTGCAAAATTTTCAAGTAATATTTATCAAAAAAAAATAAAAATAAGTACTTTTTAACAGTTGGTGGATCGCTCAAAATACTGTCTCTCCTCTCTGCCACCCAACTCTCCTTCCGTTTCCCTGTCGGGAAGCACCCAGTATCGCCAACTTTGTTTCTTTTGCAACATTTCATTCTTTCCCAAAATTTAGGTTTGGGTTCGTCATTCTCAATATTGATGGTGACGTCAGGTTTCTTCTTTCTGCAACTGAAGCAACTCCTCTTTTCGACTTCTTCACTATCTTTCTTAAGATCTCCTTTGTTTTCGTCTTTTTGTTTCTTGCACCGTTTACATGACATTTTCTTTTTGCATGTTGAAAGAAATCGCGTGCATACATTGCCTTTAGGTGGTTCTTGGGATTCTTGCGAGTCGTTGGGTTGCTGAGGAGGGGGTAAACTGTAATATGAAATAAATTATAACGTCAATGAAGGCCGTCCATGTAAAAAAATCTGTAGGCGTGATTTTTTACTTTGAGCTGTTTTTTTTTGTGGATATTTGGGTTCAATATTTTTATTATTTCCTTAATGTAAAAGAGGTGTTTAAGTTATTTATTTGTTCAATTTTTATTTAATTTTAATGATTTAAAAAAATTTTTTCGGCCTATTTTCATAAAACCAATAAGTTGGTAATTAATTAATAAATAATTAAATGAATCTACTGTAAAAAGTGTCCGTATACAAAATAAAATGTCTACGTTTTTCAAGTAATTCTTTTACTGTTGCTTTCGTGTTTTCTAACCAAATTTATTACATTTTTCTTACATTCACAAATGGTGAATGCGCCGGGATAATTCATAATTCTTTAAAAAAGTTTGAAATATTTTTTTTTTCTGAAAACAATATATTCTGGATTTCTCTTTGTTTCACACATTTTCTATTGATTACCAAAACTCTTTAAGCACGCACATGATTATATCTTGAGAAAAAATAACATACCCTCCATTTTCTAGAACTCCATAACCATTATACTCCTCATGTAAGGGCATAACGTAGATGTACGTCATTTTTGCAATCTGTTCCTTTTTCCACAACATTTATGATTGTTTTTTCACTTTCTTATTCCCAAGTTTGTAATAAATCAGATTCACACGATTTTTAAACGATCCTAATCACCGTCATAAACCAATAAAAACATCATGTTTCAATAAACACAAATTTTAAGACCACTGTTGTAAATTTGTTTATATTTAAAATTGATTTGTTAACTTAATGTTCCGCGCGTTCCAACACGTCGATGGACGCTTTCACGACTTCAATGCGGCCGCAAACGTCTTATATTATGCTACTGGACGACGGCCAAGTCTCGGCCAGTGGCGGCTCTAATGAATTTTTTATATCCGGAGACCTTTTTCATAAATCATTTTTATGGAGCGTTCATTTACATTTGACTCGACTACTTTGCTCTGCGTTTTATGCATTGCGGAAAATGAAAGTAAAAGATTTTGTTGTAAAAATGGTGGATGCGCCGGAAGATGCTGACATTAATTTTTGGTAATATTTACTAAAATGGTGGATATATTATAAATGATTGGCAGTCTAATGGTCGAGTCATTGTTTAAGGAGCAAAATTTTCTTTCCTACGCCACTGGTTAGTCTGGACACGCCATTTTCCACTTGCTGACCATTCTAGACGCCAAGATCACGCAAGCCAACAATAACAAGAAAACCTTCTTTGCCCCTGCTTAAACCACCTTAAAATCGAGTTTTGGGGTAATCTGTGTCATGGTTAAAAGTTTCATTTCCCTTGAAATATTCGCGAGGGTTTGCCGCCTATAACGTTTTTCTAATTTTGGTAAAAATTGTGATAACACTGACCTTCACACCTGATAAATTTTGATTAATGACAGTTATCGATTTCTCATAAATACCTAAATTAATTTTTTGAGCTGATTTGTGAGTTTTTCACACGTATTTGCGGAAATAATAAAATTACAAAATCATAAAACATCGGGAATAGAGGGGAAGCGATGTAATTAATTTTGTAATATTAGGGCGGCGGAACCTTGAAAGTTGGTAAATTAACGTTTTGTGTGGATTTTAAATTGACTTAATTATGTTTTGGGTTTTATATCCATTGTTGATATAAATTTGTCTTGTGATAAAGTTAATTACCTGCCACGCCGCAGTATTGTCAATATTGCGATATTTATTGTTCTGGAGGGACTCGTTATTCTGTTAGATAGACGGTATAAATCTGCCATTGATGTTGAGACAGGTGTATATTGAAGCCAATTTTCAGGGGCAAAAATACAGTCTTGATTTATTTATTTTCATGAAGTGCGGATTTCTATTTTCGCGCAAAAGCGAGGTAATCGGGTTAACAAGAAATATAATTTAAGGGTCTGCGTCACCCACTACTTATCGTTACTCTCTTTTTCGTTAAGGTGTAATTAAATAAAATAAAATTATATTAATGATGCCAATTTTGTTGACTTAGATTTTATATACACTGTGTCAATTTTAAAACTTGCAATCGGCAATTTCTCTCAACTGAAAAAGTTATTAATAATCACTCAAAACCGTTTTGGTGGTTCCTAGGGGGAATTAAAATGACATGATAAGTGACACACCTCCACCCACCCTTGAATAAAATAAAAAAAAATGAAAATTTAACGTCTTCGTTTTTGAATAATTGGAAAAATGGCTTTACCAAATAAGTTGTTGTATGACATTTTTGAAAAGCGCTTGTTATGGGCTTTTTAACGATGTATCGCATGTAGGGTCGTGCTATTTAAAATTTTCAACTTAAGGTGGCTGTGTCTTGAAGAGTGGGTGGAGGAGCGTCACTTACCAAGCCATTTTGATTCCCCCTAAAAACCACCGAAACGGTTTTAAGTGATTCTCAATAACTTTCTTAGTTCTAGAGATATTGGCGATTGCAAGTTTTAAAATTAACACCCTGTATGTATATGTAGTTTTCTTTAGTTGGCGTCGTTAATTATAACGTATGTGAACAAAACGATGCAACTTTGAAAAATGATAAAGTTGCGTGATTTTCAGGCTATTTGTGAATTCTTGAATTCTCCAGGCTTTTAATAAAGGATAAAATTATAGGATTTTTACTTTTGTAATTATTGTTTATTTTATATATAAGATTTAGTTTTTAGTTAGTGCTGACGTTAGTAGTGTTCATTACACTCCAGATTTTAACGAGGATCGATATAAAATTTATATAAACCCTCGTGTAATCTGAAATTTTGGCCAACCCTGTCCGTCTATAATAAAACGTAGATTATGTCTAATCTTCCATTCTAACGATAGTTTTAACTGAAACGGTCTTTATCCTTGATCTTTCGATTAGCAGGATCGCCGATATAACAGTTGACCAAACGCAAAAAAAGGATTTTTACTTCCGCGTATGCCACTTTTAAAAACTAACGATCGTTCCATTTACATTAAGTCAAGCTTTTTTCGATGAATTATTCATAGCAAGTAGCATACCAAACGATATTTTGAAAAATGGTTTTTATTGTATTGAGAAGAGGCATACATATTTTCTGAAGAAATTTTTAAAAATGTATATTTCGTGTAGTGTTATTTTATTAGAAAACACTTGAACAATTTGAATGAAATTGTATTTCTCGTCAAATAAAATTTACTGCATGTGATGTGTAATTAAGTCATAACATCCAAAAAAATGCAAATCAGGTCCTGTTTTTACAACACGTGTACTTTGGAAAGGCTTAGGATTTGTTCACCCCTGCAATGTCGCGTGTTTCTTAGCAGTATCACAACAATCGCTGACCGGTCACGTGACTCACCCTGAAACTACCATTCGCCTCCTAAGATTTCATATTTTTGCATTTGCTCGGACTTTGAGAGAGGAACTCATAAATTGTCAATTGTCACGGGGCCTAAAAAATGATTTTGAAAAGTTGTGGACACAATAGTGCGTACATAAAATATGTTATGTTGCGTTTTTATAATCCTCAAGCTCCACTTTAAATTCATTATTACAACAATTTTAACAAAAAAATTATATTTTTTAATTAAAAAAATTAAATTTAAATATTTTTTTTTATTCAGAATAAAAAGTGATGATTACTCTATTTTCAGCTTAAAGTTTTATTCAGTTCAAGCTTATATTGAACAAAAAAAGGAAAGTTATGCGAGTTGAATTAATAAGAAATAAGAATTGATTAGTATACATTTGCAATAAATATGCCACGGGCACTTTGTCACGTCTTTTTTCTATTTTTTTTTTTTTTGACGGAAACCACAAAAAATGCTCTAGCGAAATTAATCATCCCATTAGAATAATTTATAGCTCCTCGTACACTTATCTCACCCAAATGAATTTTGTCTCAACTCATTAGTCAGTCATCAATCTCATAACTGACCCTTGAACTTTCCCTCTGTCGGGTCATTCTATTGAAAATCAACTTTTTCACACGCACAAGTTCACCCGATAGAAGGCTACATATTCCACTGGACCACTAACCCAAATATGGCCTAAAATTAGTTGCGCACGGCAAGACCATTTGCACCGGAATTTCGATGTTCATTATTTTTAATTGTGACTGCTAGTCGGCAATTTGAAACCTCATTCTCCTTAAGACAAGCAATTAAAAGTAGGACGACTTGAATTATTATTTCCTCTTTCTTTGTCAAGGCTAAAGCAATAATACACACTTACCCCGGTCTCTCTCCCAAACCGTTGGACGTGTCGAAGCGGATATTCCCGCTCTGCACCTCCACATCCATAGGTTTCTCCCTCACTGTTATCTTGATGGGTTTAACATCATGGGCAACGACAGTGCGTGCTTCGATTATCCTATCATTTGCCGTTTTCTGGACGGAATTTCCGAGTTTATGGTCCGGACTTATCAATTTACTCATGTTGTTCTGCACGTGTTGCTCCAAAACCCTCGCTGGGACAATCCCCGTAGAAGTCATGTGATTACTATTTATACTGTCCACGGTCTTGGTTGTGGCTTCTTCGACTTTTGGTAGTGCGGTGGTGGCATTTTTCGTATCCAAAGGATTTTGGTGCTTACTAACTTCATTAGACATGGCGATGATGGTGCTAGCAGCCGGTGATAATTTCGTTAGACCAGATTCCTTCATCAGGGTTTGAGAGTCGAGAACTGTATCATTCATTTTATTCATTGCATGGGAGACGCTAGTTGCACTCAAAATTCGACCATCGACCATGGGTGCTATGGTCTTATTGTCACTTTTTGCAGATTCTTCAATTTTGGCTTCGATTTTCAAAGGTTGAGTTACTGTGGTTGTTGTACTTGAGACTACAGCAGTTGTCGAGGGTTGGAGTAAATCGGACAATTTTACCACGCTTTCAGATTTTTTTACAGTTTCTTCTTTCCCGTCATTCTTCTTTGTGGAGTCTTCTTTTTTATTATTTTTATTATTATTTCCTTTGTCGTTTGTTGTTTTTGTTTCATTTTTCTCCGATTTGTCTTTACTCGATTCAGCACTTTTATTTGTTGCATTATTTTTATTATTGTTGTTATTATTATTATTATTACTTTTTTGGTTACCGTTAGTGTCTTTACTCACATTGTTTTTATTAGTCTTATTATTGTTGTTATTATTGTTATTATTAAGATTTAGGTTGATTCTAGAATTTGTCCTTAACCTACTAACACTTTCTTTTCTGTCCACTTTTCTTCTATTGGCCACACTATCCGAATCCGTCTCGCTCAACACTTGGGGTTTAGGAGGCACTTTTGGTTTAGTTCTACTAAAACTATTAACTTTTGCTTGCACATTTTTATAGTTTTTGACCGGGATTCTCGTTGGCGAAGCAGGATTTTTGCTAGGGCTAGGCTCCCTACTGGTAGCCTTTGAAGTGGGCTTGGAGGCATTCCTGGGTGGTCTATTTACAAAAGAGCGACTCTTGCTCACTGTAAACTTTTGTTGACTACTAGTGTTGAGTTTAGGGGAAGACTGGGATTGACTTGGCTCAGGTGAACTACCTACGATGGGGGAAAGCCTCTGGAAGGTTGTTTTGGAGTATCCCGGAGGCCGGCGCGGGCTCGGCGGTGGTCGTGAGGTGACCCGTCTGGGTGCAATATTGGTCAGACTTTGACTAAGTTGGGCGTTCAATTTTCTCCTATTGGGAGACGATTGATAATCGGTGATTTTTTCCCCAAAAGCGGCGGCGCTTCCGCGGCGAGACAGTCGGGGGATCTTGGAGTGGCCGGGGGAGTCGTGGAGGGGAGTGAAGGTTTCTTGGGGAGGTGGCGATGGAACCGGGGAGGCGTGCCGAGAGCCGATGGGGTTGAAGCCTCGGCCTCGGAAGGGGCTGACACGGCCGGTGGGGCTGGGGCTCCGGGAGGTGGGCAAGCTGCTGGGCTCGGCCAAAATAGCGAAAGACATGTTCTTGTGTCTTCGGGAGGATGGAGTAAGCCTAAAAGAAATTAAACCAAAGTTTGCATTTTCTGGAAGGAAATATTTTTTACCTGTATGGCTGAGGAGCCATAGGAGGATCTTGAGGGGCCGCGTCATCGGGTGGGAGTATGGTAAAAGCTCCTGGTGTCTTATTACGTGAAGGTATTTCATCATGATTATGTCCCGTTCTGCTATAGGTGTTTCTGTGTTCGGGAGAACGCATTTTTAAAACGAAAAAGAAAAACTAAAAATAATTAAGATTTTGATTTGATCTTCATATTCTTCCACTTGTGCCCCTAACCATGTCTAGATCTGCAATAAATAAAAACTTTTCACACTTCTTAAGATAAAAATTAAATATTTGCACTCGGTCTGGAGGATTAAGGTTAGCAGTGGGTTCAAGAAGCGTATAGTTTTCACGAAGCGTAATTTTGCTTGAGAAGATTATGTTTATTTCTGTGTTCGTTCTCTGTAACTAATTATTTGAAACTCATAGCACACTCCTTGAGGTTTTCTGCACAGCAGTTGTTATGATCCACTTCTTGCACACACGATGAAACAAAAGAAAATCACCTTGTCTGTGCGGGGTTTCTAATCAAACGCGTCTTGTGTAATTTTTAATTAGAAATTTCATAAAGGATGTGCTCCATATAATGTCACGGTTTAACATTCGATGAGCAAGAATGCTTCAATGATTCCGTTGCGTAATTACAGAAATTAGTGCACATTTAATGGTAGTTGCAATTTTTTTTAAATGACAGGAAAATCTGTATTTGGCTTTCAAAACTTTTTTTACTTTGAAGAAAGTAACGCTTTTATGATGGAAATGAGGAAGAGTATAGCCACGAAGCATATCATCTTTGATGGAATGATTAAGATCAATCTTTTGATATGCAATTTAAATTAAAGAAATTTAATTTGTTTTTATTTATTTCTTGTAAAATACCTATCTTGAGGCAGAACGTACACGTTTTATGTTTTCATAATTTCTTTAGGCGACGTAAGAGCTCTTTTACACGAAAGTTTTTTAATAGAACATTGAGTGGTATTGATTTTTTAAAGTTGCAACTGGGTATTAAGTAAATAGGTATGTTCTCGTGCACTAATGAAAGCAGATTTGGGTAATTGTAAAATGCAATCTATTCATTTATAAAGTCTTAGCACTCAAAATGTGCAAACATGTTAATGATATCAAACGCAAATCTATTTAATTTATAGATAAATTTTCTTTAATACAAAGTATGTAAAAAATTGTAACAAAGTTCGGTCATGGTTTAACTGTCTATTTCTTATTGATGAACACTACTGAAAAATAATTTAGTTTGATAAAAACAAACTTTCAATTTATCTTTACTATATTATTAATTTTGTTTTTTATATCATCTTTACTCAAAAACGTATTTGTATTTTTTTTTATATTTTATTATTATATTTTAATGAAAAAATTAAAGTATATATTATTCGGTATGTGAATTTTACAAAATTGAATTTTTCTATTGTCCAGTGTTCATAACAATTTTTATCTTTTTAGTTTAAAGCAAGTTGTTTTTGTACTCATCTTGTATAAAGTGTGCCATTAGTCTTCGTTGATTCGATTATACTTTTTTGGTAATATTTTAATAACAAAAATAAAAGGATTTATTTTGTTATTTAAACTTTATTATCTTGATATGCGAACAAATATGTTAACAGAATATTATTTCTATTTTGTAGAAAATACTTGCACTTACGTATGTCACGGTCTTTTTGTAAACACAAATATACAGGCTGCGCCAGAACTCGCGCTCCAAAGAAAAATGCCATTAAAGATAAGAACCAGGAACATGGAAAAAATGTTAAAAAATTTTATCTATAAAAATTTCGAACTTGCACTTTGACTCTATTTATTTCTATTGGAAAAATATTTTTTTTGTTTTTTTGCTATAGGCTATTAAAAGAGGAAACAAGGAAGCTGTGTCCTAAATTGTAACTTTGTTCAATGTAATTTGTGGCTTTCATTGGCAAAATTTTTGTACCTTTACTAAATAATTGTAAAAAAACACATACAAGATCATCAGTATCATTAAATAGACATAAAAAAATGCCAAATGTCAAAAAATAAATGTCAAAATTTTTTGACAGATAGAATTTTTTAAACATTTTTTTCATGTTCCTGGTATCTTACCTTACTTGAAAATTTTCTCTGGGGCGCGAGTTCTGGCGCACTCTGTATTTAAAAGACGTAACAGAACCATTTATTAGTAGGATCATTTTTCGATTAAGAATTTGTTAATTTACAAAATAATTGCCTTGTCACTCAAATAGAAATTGGAGAAATAATTGGTTTGAATTTACACTGACGAAATTATTAAAAAGGTGACACAAATATGTGAGTGTGAAGAAATTATTCCTAAATTTTTAATAATATTGTTGTTACATCCGTTTTAACTTTAGAAGTGGCCATTCTATTGGCCAATTTTTTTACTCTTTCAAAATCCTTGGGTTAATTACATAAACAATTTGGTTTTAACCCATTTATGAACGGTATTAATTTTTTTTAATTAGTTTGGATTTATTCATGTTTGTTCCGTAGATAATTAAAAATTAATCAAAGTATATTTTTTTCTGTTCCTGCTTTACATTCGTGATTCATGCAACTTCTTCAGGCATCAAAAAATAGTTTACTCAATACAGATTCTCGTTTTAGTAATGAAGATTTCTACTTTAATTAATATCATACATGCACACACAATTTGCCTAATACTAATATTTACATTTGATTCCGTGATACGAACAGTGATGGTTTCAACTTATGTAATTTATCAGTTTTATACTTGAAAGAAAAGCGCACTAATGGAAATTAATACTATTTGGATATTTATCTTTTTCCTTTATTACTAATGTTTAACTATGATATTTAGCTTGTAGGTTTATTTTTATTTTCTTGCATGTAGATTAATCGTAAATAATAATTGCAAAAAACGACCAACAGTTTCATTATATGCAACAAACTTTGTCATACAATAAATTAATCGCACTAGCTTGGAAAAATCTGAATATTGGAGCGTAAAACCTACATTTTTATTACATTATCAAGCAATGGATTATTATTAAAATAAAAACGAAAGAATTTTCATTTAATAACAAATTCATTTCGATTTGAATCAAATTACAATTATTGTGATACTTTGGAAAGTTCATTTACCCCTGAATATGTTACATAGCGTTAAAGCCCCAAACATTTGATCTTTCCCATTGAATTGCAAATTTGATGAATATGTTAATTAATAAAAAATGAAGCATGACGAAAAAATCCAAGGAAAACATGCATTGAGGTCTGAATTAGCGGCGGACATCCTGTATACAAACTCTTTTTCCAAACAAACAAATTGATTGGATGCACATTTAATTAGAAGAAAATTGTGCTTAATTAGCCTTGACTCCGATGGCCGGAAAATCTGTGGAAATGTTTGGCATTGAAAGTGAATTTTTATTCTTAGATAACCCAACTTCTTCGACCGGTTACGAGCATGCAGCTACAATTTATTTATACAGAGCGATGTTTTTGATAAGGGGTATCGACACGAGACCTTTGGATACTTTAATAATTTTTGCAACGGAATGCAAGCCCCAAAATTCAGAATATCCATATGCTTGTCGCTCTTTTCTGCTATTGATTTTTTTCGCTAATTTATTCATTCTTTCGAGGTGAACTTATTATTCAATGAAATAGTTGTGGCTGAATTCGTGTATAGTTTTGGGAAATATGGTGAAGCACAAGTAACATTTCATGTAGGTATTTCTCAGTTTGGAGATTTGATTAAGGATTAGGTCTGAACCTGAAACGAGCACTAATGTAGTGTTGTCACAAACCGCAGGATAAAAATACAACGATTATTTTTATAATAAAGGATAAACAAGGAAAAAGCTTGTCGGGGTTGATATTAAATACGTTTATGGGACGATTACGTACAAATTTTATTAGGAAAGTGGCAGATTGAGACGTTTTTACGGTTTTTATTTAATTCTGGTTTCGTTTATTGTTTTATTAATCGGCGGCGTTGTGTGTTTCGAGTCCATGTTACAGCCCGGTTTGGAGTCCTTCGACGAGTCCTTGGCGTTTGAATCCTCTTATCGCGATTTTTCTATATGTAGGCATGGTTTGTCATTGGTCAATATAATATTTGTCTAATTTTGTTTAACAATAATAAAATATAAGGGCGCAACCTATTCTCCTGTATTGTTACACTTTTTAATTATTCTTAAAACCAAAATACGAATCAAATTTACATGCTATCTCCCAAGTAGATAGTTTATTTTAAACTTTTTGTTTTCTTGTATTAAAATTTAAATATTCCATAAGAAACTCTAAACATTTTTTAAATAAACGAATAGTTTACAAGTTTTTATGCAATTATCATTGGAAACAATTTTATAAACATTAAACAAAGAAAATATCACAAAATAATTTGCAGTTTGTATTTTTTTGAATTTATTTATAACCAAGTCCTCGTTACAATTTTTTCTTCACTTTTAAGATTGACTAAGCATCTTACAAACGTTAAGCATTTATTTATTTTGTAGAAATTTAATCAGAAAATATAAAGAAACAATTTTCCTTGACAGGATTTTTTTAATTTTCATTATGTTTTAATTTGTACTTATTTCTTATGTTTTTTTTTTACATTTTCAATATTTGCTCTAGCTCTAGACAATTTTGTTAAACTTTTTTTAATATTAAAAAATAAATGTCGCAATTTTTTTTCCGTAATAATGTTTTGGTGTTATATCTTAATTGTTTTTTTCTTTTAAATTGTTTTGTTTTGGTTTTCGTGTAGATGTTTACCTAAAACTAGATTACGGTAACTTATTTTGGACGAATTAATAAATTATTAATTTAAAAACGTACATAATTATGTTGGTTGCATTTGAAAAAAAGGCAATAAAGCAGAAAACACTTTGTCATAATTTCTCAAAAAGTACCTTGGTAAAATACGAGTTCAAAAATTTTTTAAAGTAATTTTGAATTTCTCAATTTTGGCCTAAAAATAATAACACTTTTTACTTTTATGTAAACCATAATAATTTATATTTGTTAAATAGTTAGGTATTTTTCTTAAACATACTCATATTAAATTATTAAAAATCTTGTCACTAACTGAGCCCTAGTTTAGATCGGTATTTAATGTTTACGTTTGCCTTATTTTATTTACATTTTATTATGCGTTCTACTAATAAATAAGTAATGTCTTAATGAAATATTAAAGGTGTAATCTCAACCCGAATTATTCGTTTGAAATTATAGCCAAGAATTTGTCTCAATAAATAGGCCGTAAAATAAACCCACCCCTCCCTTTTGGGGTTGATAATTTACGACTTACTTTAGTCTCCCTAACACAAATACAAACTTCAAAATTTTCACCTGATTCTATTTTTGCATAATTCGATTTTTCCGTTTGCAGCAATTTATGCGAAAACAATCTCTCGCTTTTTCGTAAGTGTTTTCAGTTACGTAAAGCCATTTTATTTGAACAATTTTGCGAATGAGTTATTTGAATAAAATACCATAATCGGAGAGTAAATAACCCATTGCGATATACAGAATTCGTTAAAATTTCTCTTGCAACAAACAATTTACATTAATTGAACCACCAATTGCATTTAATGGCTGCAATTCTTGCTTTGACGAGTTTTTAAATTTCTAAAATTTACAATTCAACAATGTTGTTATTATCACGGTTGTAAAAGTTATTGTTTACGAGAGTGAAGCGCTATTATTAAATGCTTTCAAAACAATTCTTTTGAATTATTTGAACAATAAAATTTTGAAGGGACAAATAAAATAGTCTGATTTCTACACACTTTTTCTATTTACCTTTGTCTATTGTTGCCATTTCGTCACAATTTCTGCTTCAAATTTTTAGTCATAGTGCCCAAAATAATTTTTTGAGCCAAATAATTTCCAGGCGAAAGCTCAGGATACAAAAATGGGACCAGTCTGACTGAACAAAAACAGACTGGAACTATGGTACAACACTTGCTAATCAAAAAAATTAACCAATTTTCGAAAATCAAACACAACAATCTCGTCAATGAAACAAGTTTCACACACATTCACAGTCACATTGCACCACAATACGGTTTGTGTGTGTTAAAAGTTACTGGTACGACGGTAGCGCCACTTGAAGGTGGCGGTAAACTGCGCGCTAATAGTTAAGAAAGCTTCAACGACCTACTTGCTGCCGCTTTAACACCACCCCTTCTTCAAAAAGCCACGCGAAGTCTGGAGCGTGGGAGGGATTTTTTTTCGCGATGATGTAAGGACCAGTCATAAGTTCTGGAAAATCGCGATTTTCTGCTTAAAAGGTTCGCTGGCATGACATTTCGGTCAGGGAAAGGAAATGAGGGTGATGAAGGTTTTCATTCGGGTCCTAATGAGAAAATAATTGCAGGAATTCGCTTCTTGCAACAACAAATTTAATTTTTCATCTTTTAACATATTTTATTTTTAGCTTGAATGGATAAAATCTTGTTAAAAATTATTAAATAATTACGGTGCCAAAACCACACACCCTCTAGTTTACGGTTTGGTTTCTCATAATTGTCGGTTTGTTTTTATGGCCCAGAGCACGAAAAACCGCTCTTATTTACTCTCTTGAACGTGGCTAAGTTTCGTTAAATTGTCATAGTCCGATGGATTTTCTGCGTAATTTCACTGACAACAATAATCACAATGAAAACTAGTTCCATAATCATCGTCACGATCCACTCGCACAAGTTTAATTTTTGTTGGATTTTTCATGTTCTATTTAATGTAGTTTCTCGATTTTTATTTTAATAAAATAATAACTTTTCCATTTAACCATCTGTTTGTTTATATGACGTATTAATTGAACTGAAAGTTTTTAAATCATCTCTATTTTCTCTTAATTTTCTTGAACTCGATTACCAAAGTTATTTGTAAGTTAAAAATGTTGATTTTGAAGAGGAAGTTATGCAAAGTGTATCACTTCATCAAAATCATTCCGATTCAGGTGAATTGCTCTTATTAGAATTAATAAAAGTGTTAATTAATTCTTGCATATTTATGACTACTAACAACGCATAATTTTTATGTCAGCCATGTTCCATTTTGTCTATTAACTAAAACGAAAATCTCTATTTTAGTGACTCGAAATAAATTCTTTGTCTTGCATTTTCAATTCGTTGCAGAACTCTAAATGTTATTTTATAAGCATTTCCAGTTTTTGGGTGAAATTATAGCTTCTCTCTAATTAGGCTACAAGTTGCAATAGTTGCAAATTTTGCTGAATATATAATTACGCAAATTGTTTTAGCGTTTCCATTTTACCGCATTATGATTGCAAATTTTAATCATTAACTTGAGGTTCTAAAATAAGACAATATTTTTCTATCAACTATTAATACTCGTCGTCTGCAACAAGTAGATATTTTGTTACATCATAATCGAAAGTCATAAAATAACTCATTGTGCTAATTATATACTTGTCACAAAATTGAATACAAGTTTTTCTATTTTTAGGCTAATTAGCGCCGATCACTGAACTTGCATTGTATTAATTCGCGAGCTTTTTAACCTCGATTGGTTTATTTTTGAGCTTTCCATAAATAAAAATTTTACTCCATTTCGCCCATTGTGTCAACACACAAAGCCACGACATTTAAAACACGCAAAGAAATATCGTTCGGATTCTAAATCCTTCAAACACAAGAAAACCGAACTGTTGAGTGTGTACGTATTCGTAATATAAGTTTTCTTGTGAATAGAGGGGCCATCGACCTTTCTACTTCCTTACCACCCGACTGACCGGACTTTGCAAACGGAAGTTGTCTACTTCAGACTTATTGCATAGCATATATGCAGTTTTAACATCAATACTGTTGTTATCTAGTCGTCGAGGTTTTGTCGTACTTTGTAATTTAAATAAACTGAACCGGGGAGTAAATACCACTTTTTTATTTAACAGGAAGTGAAGCGTCAACTCGCAATAAAGTCACATTTTCCAGACTTGAGATTCAAATTTCCAAAAATATTCCACTTGTCATCTATTTCCGTCAAAGAATTTCTGTGCAGACAAACATTTCCCTTTTGAAGTTTCCAAATTTAAAATTGACTCATTATTCAATGTCAAGTAAGAGTGAAAAAATAGAAAATACCGAAAGAGAAGGTTTATTTAGCGCCATCCTAATTAGCTTAATTTGCTTCACTAGGTTTATGCAATTCGTTTAATTGGACCATTGAAAGTGGCAGGAGTATTTTCGAAAAGTGTTCTAAATTTGGACCTTGATTGGATGACTTCAAGTATTTATTTCCGGACCCTTTAAAAAGCCCACACTTGAGAATAATTTTATAAGGAAGCACCTGCTCTTTTCAACTAAAACCAAACGCCAGAGTTGGAAACTTTATAGCTCACAGGTTTGGAAAATATCACTTTAAGTGAAGAGTCTTTTGAAGTTGAAATCGTGTAGCTTTTGGCGGTGCTTGAAAAGGAGTTCTAAGCTGGGAGTAATAACGCTGAATTTGCATCGAGATTACATGCTAGGGAGGAAACGTATTGTAACTTTCAACTTAAAATAAAAGTAGTTTTTTTCCAAGAAAACTTTTTATGACATTAATTTAAGTATATTATAATAATCTGAAAAATATTAAAATCAACTAAGTGTTGATAGGCAAGCATATTTCAAAACTCACAATTTTGAATAAGAAAAAATTTTACACTAAGATTAAATATAATTATTTTTCTACAATGTTGCTTGGAAAAAAAAATTATAAAAATTTTTGAGTTTAAGTTTAAAACCTATTTAAGCTGCTTATTAAATGCATTGGTAAAAAAAGTGCTGTATACACAAATCGACAAGAAGCATCATTAGAGCAGTTTACTAAGTGTTCATCCGGGATTTGAAGCGGTTTCTAAAAAAAGGTCTCCATTAAAGCGGAGGTAATTTCGATTAAGTACAGCCGCTACATCGATCCACAAATATTGTTCGGATTTTATTAAGTGTTGTGTTGTATTTTCTTTGTAAATTTTGTAATAGAATGGAGCGGATGGTACTTTTGAACCGTTCTAATTAAGCAAGATATTAGGAATTCAAGGATCGAATAATAAATTTTGCAACGAGTTTTACACAATATCCCATTTGTCTCCCATGTCAATGGCTTTATCTATTTTAATAGATTTTTTCACCTCTGAAAAACGCAGACTTTATTACGAAGGGAGTGTATGGCAGTTATGATGAGATTACGCAGTTGGTGAACATTTTTCTTATAAATTACATTTTAACATCCGATTTTAGAAACCTTGACATGATCGCCTAATCCCACCCTCAAAAACAGTACTAATCTAAGCGTATTAAAGTAAGTAATGAATAAGGTAGGGCCGGGTCGATGGTTAATTATGTTTCAAAATCCAATAACTCTATGAAAAGCTGCACTTCATGTTCAACTCATTTTGTAACCAACCTATCCTGTCATGACAGATATCCATATATCAAAATAAAATACGCTGCCAATAACGCATTAACAGAATTAATTCAATGCTATAATACCTTCACCTCAAAGTAATACACACTAACAAACTTTTTTCACATTTTGATGGACTGCCGGCGCTGAATTAATGTTCAATGGGGGTTTTAGGGGGTGGCGGAAATAGAGCACACTTTGTTCATATTAACTGGAAAATGGCGGAAAGTGTTTTTAAAAGTTGCGAAAAAGTGGGTGAAGGACGACCTTCATTCTTAGAGGTTTTTGTCAGATCATCAATTTCCCGAGTTGCACACTAAATTATTTTTCTACACAACTAACGATTTTAGAATGTAACTTATTTTTTGTACTCAAAAATAAAACATGTTTCTTTGTAAAAAAATTATTTAATACTTCATACACATAAAAGCAATACAATAACATTTTAAAGAATCTCAACTTGGAACACAACTTCGTTTAAAATCTTATCATTTGTAAATAAAATAATATGAGGAAAAATAAGTAAAATTAATTACTTAAAAGAACCAAAACTTCATCACATAATGCGGGGTGATGAAGTGACTTTGACCAAAACTTAATTCATTCAACTTCAATATTAAGTAATCGATTCGCTAGAAAACCGTTTACAACGCCATATTTCGTCCTTCAATCGATATTTCTACAGCTCTTCTTGGTTGTTTCAATCGTTTACCGTCCAGGAAGTTCTTGTAATGCTTCTCAAATCTGTTCATTTGCTTCTTCGATGACTACAAAAAATAACACAATTAGATCATACATTATCAATAAGCCAATTCGTAACATACCCTGCTGATATCAACCTCAGATGTCCACTTAGGCCGTACAAGATAATCTTTATTGGAAGGCATAGGAACTCTCGCCCGTGCAACCCATCCCTTATCTCCAGGTCTCAAAGGTCTGAAACACCGATTTAAGCTTGGAAACAGACCCAACATACTAACTTACTTTCCCTCCGAATTTAACGCTTTCGTCAGCTCTTTCCGTTCGGAAGACGACTGTTGCTCGTTCCTTCCACGTTTTGGAAGCTGCTCCAAGTCTCTTTGAAGACGTTCCTCGCGAGTCATCGCTTTGAAGTCGGCCGAAAGGTTGAAAATTGGTCGCACCCACTCGCTTATCAATTTGCCGGCTCGCTCTTTGTTTTCTTTCGTTTCTTTGGGGTGTTTGTAGAGATACATCACAGCTTTGCCGATTCCGGAGTGTTTTCTTGTAGACTGGTCGACTTTAGGGAACTAAACAGGAGGTTTCAGGGTGGGTTTAAGTGAGATTAGGGCGACTTACTTCAGCCAACAGTTTTAGTATAGCCTCTCTTACTTGCAAAGAAGGTAACGAACGATCAGGCATTGGGGCCAACCAATCGGTTAAGACGCTAAGGACGTTATGTTCTATGAAAGCTAATTGCAAATCGTGTTTTTTTAACTGCGACATGACCTTGCTTAGCATGCCAATTTTTTTCGTTGCTGGTTGACTTAGTTGGTTCAGTCTTCGGTCGTCCTAAATTAATTTTATTACAAAAAAGCATGTTAAACAAAACAATCTTACTTCAGCTGCATTTCTCATATCTGCTAATAATTGTGCGATTATATCATCATTGTCATTAATGATATCTATATCCTTTCTTTTCCGTTTCTTAGACTGCTCTTCTCGCTTTCGCTGTAACATTATTTCAAAGTCCGATAATCCATCATTTGATTCACTAAAAATTTCAACTTGTAAATGACTTCAATTTAACAATAAAAATCTTACTGTGTGGGTCTTTCATCATCAGAATCTTCAGAAACATCCGGAACCACTTCGTTTCCGGCTTCTTCCGGTTCACCTTCAATATTTTTCTCCCCTGAAGGTTCCCCACCTTCATCGTCACTAACTACAGCCTTTTTCGCTTTCGGTGGTCCTTCCCCTTCATCTTCCGAATCGGAAACCAAACGTCGTTTTCGACCTACTCCTCCTTCGTTTCCAGAATACGAACCGGAACGAGATCTTGATCGTGATTTCGCAGAACCGGACCTGGATCTTGACCTTGAACGCGAACCGGATTTGCGCGATCCAGACGCGGAACGTGACCGTGATCTAGATCTCACGGAACCAGATCTCGAACGTCTGGAACCAGATCTAGATCTGGATCTAGAACCGGATCTAGAGCGTGAACGTGCCGATCCAGACCTTGATCTTCTGGAGCCAGATCGTGATCTCGCGGAACCGGATCTTGATCTCCGGGATCCGGATCGTGATCTTGCGGAACCTGATCGAGATCTAGCAGAACCCGATCTAGACCTTCTTGATCCAGATCTGGACCTTGAGCGTGATCGCGAGCCTGACTTGTTAGATCTCACAGAACCCGACCTTGATCGTGACTTTCTAGAACCCACCGATTTTGCAGAACCCGATCTTGAGCGCGATCTTCTGGAACCCACGGATTTCGCAGAACCCGATCTTGAACGCGATCCTCTGGAACCTACGGATTTCGCAGAACCCGATCTTGAACGCGATCTTCTAGAACCCACGGATTTCGCAGAACCCGATCTTGAACGCGATCTCCTGGAACCTGCGGATTTCGCAGAAGCCGACCTTGAACGTGATCTTCTGGAACCTACGGATTTCGCAGAACCTGATCTTGAACGCGATCTTCTAGAACCCACGGATTTTGCCGAACCCGATCTTGAACGCGATTTTCTAGAACCCACGGATTTCACAGAACCCGATCTTGAACGCGATTTTCTAGAACCCACAGACTTTGCAGATCCTGACCTTGAACGCGACTTTCTAGAACTAGCTGATTTTGCTGATCCTGAACGTGAACGTGATTTTCGAGACTGTGCAGAGGTGGGTCTTGCCGAACCCGAGCGTGACCTCGAACGTGACCCTTTCCTGGACCCTGAGGGCGATCTGGATCTAGAATTGCGTTGTGCGAGAGATGCTGATCTAGATCTAGAACGAGATTTTGATCGTGAAACTGCCTTTCGTGATCCTTGACTTGAGGATCGTGAACGGGATCGTTTCGGTGATCCGGAGGGAGATCTAGAGCCAGAACGTGCACTCCCAGATCTAGATCTTGATCTGGATTTGCGTTCACCCTCACTTCTAGCTGGCGAGACGCTTCTGGATCTGGGTTTGGAATTCCGAGCGGCGTCCCCGTTCATTTGTGGAGAACTTGATCTGGATCGCGATCTGGATGCTGATTTGCGTGATCCAGATTTTGATGAGAAAGCTGGAGAGGTAACTCCATTTGACATTATTTCATTTCTTTCCACAGATTTCGAACGGGAACGCGAGCGGTTGCTCAAAGCTGGCGAAGATCGTTCTTTAGCATCTGTTCCTTCTAGAAAAGGTTTTTTATTTCGGATAAGAAGCCTAAGCTTGTGTAAATAAAGCGACATATTTACCAGTCTCAACATCCATAGTTTTCGTCTTCTAGGGGACTTTTTTGAACAATTATTAAATATCCAGTGTTTTATATTGACTTTCCACAAAAAATAATACGTTTCGCAATAAATCACTAATTTATGATTTTTTTACACCGTACTTTTTGACAGTTAACTAACCATTTAATATGTGACCAATAGAACAACACAAAAATCCACTACAAATATAGTTAAAATGGCGCTGCCATCATAACATTTTTGTCAGTTGTCAGTTGATTGTCAAATTGGCTGACACGTGAGGGAAGTGTGATAGTTTTCTTCTATAGGTATTTATTAAAATCTCTTATATTCTTTAAAAAAGTGTTTACCAAGCATATATAATTTTGATGTTTTGTATCAGTATTTATTGGTTAATTTTATACGTGTAAAATGGAGCTTATTCTTAAAAAGTTAGGTTATGTTAATTTGTTTGATAGCAAAAATGGGCGAAACCAAGCCGGTAGAAAACTCTGAAAAGGCTGAAAGTAAGAAAGCAGCCAAGAAAGAAGCAAAAAAAGCTGAAAAAGCTGCCAAAAAAGCCGAACACAAAGCCGCCAGTGGACAGTCACAGTCTGTTGTTGCTGATGAAAGTAATTATTTTTTCCTGTAGTGTTGTGCAATAATTAGGACGTGCTATTTATAGATGATGTATCTGTTGGAAAATATGGGAATTTGCCGTTGATCCGTTCTGATAGTAATAACACTAATAAGGATCGTAAATTTATTTATGTTAAAGAAGTAAATAAATCTCTTGCTGGTAATGTTGTTTGGGTCAGAGCTAGGCTTCACACTGTACGTGCCAGGGGAAAACAATGTTTTATTGTACTCAGACAACGGGAATTTACTGTTCAATTGCTGCTGAATGTTTCCGACACTGTCTCAAAATCTATGGTCAAGTTTGCAAGCAAGTATGATGATTAATAAGTTTTCCGCAAATTACTTAACATCTAATAATTGTTAGCATTACAAAAGAAAGCATCATTGATGTGGAAGCGAAAGTGGTAGAAGTTCCAACAGCAGTCGCGGGTTGTTCTCAACAAGACATTGAATTATTAGCATCGCAAATTTGGGTTGTCTCGGCTTCAGCTCCCCAACTTCCCTTACAGATTGAAGATGCGAGTAGACCAGAGAAGAGCGATGTAAGAAATTTATCTTCATTTAAAAAGAAAACATGATTCTATCAATTTTAGGAAGCCGAAGGGCTCAACATTAGAGTCAATCAAGACACAAGATTGGACAACCGCGTCTTGGATTTACGCACACCCACCAATCAGGCAATTTTCAGGTTGGAAGCTGGGGTTTGTCGCCTTTTCAGAGAAGTTTTGACAAGGAAAGGTTTCACTGAGATTCATACACCTAAAATTATCCCTGCTGCGTCTGAAGGTGGAGCTAATGTCTTCACAGTCAGTTATTTTAAAGGTTTTTAGATATGGCATCATTTTCGCTAGAAATAAATTTTTGTTTAGGGTCCGCGTATTTGGCTCAAAGTCCACAACTGTACAAACAAATGGCCATTGCGGCCGATTTCGATAAAGTATTCACGATTGGGGCTGTTTTCCGAGCTGAGGATTCGAACACCCATCGCCATTTGACCGAATTTACAGGTCTTGACTTAGAAATGGCCTTCAATTATCATTATCATGAAGTCATGCTTTTGATCGGAAATTCATTTACTGAAATTTTCAAAGGATTGCGCGACCAATACAGCACCGAAATTCAAATAATCGGTCAGCAGTTTTCAGTTGAGCCTTTCACATTCTTGGATCCTCCCCTAGTTTTACATTTTGATGAAGGGCGAAAACTTTTGGCGGAAGCTGGAGTTGAAGTAGAGCCTGAAGAAGATTTGAGTACCCCTGCTGAAAAGTTACTGGGGCGGTTGGTGAAAGCTAAATACGATACCGATTTTTATATTTTGGACAAGTATCCATTAGCTGTGAGACCGTTTTACACCATGCCGGACCCTGAAACGCCCAGATCCTCAAATTCATATGATATGTTTATGAGGGGTGAGGAGATCTTGAGTGGGGCTCAGAGGATTCACGATCCGGAGTTACTCACAGAGCGGGCCAAACATCATGGAATCGGTACAATTTTACATGAAAAGAAAATTGTGTTAATGTTTTATTGCAGATTTGAAGAAAATTTCGTCATACATTGATGCTTTCAAGTATGGTTGTCCACCCCATGCTGGAGGAGGTATTGGTTTGGAGCGAGTTGTGATGCTTTATTTGGGATTGGATAACATCAGAAAAACTTGTATGTTCCCGCGTGACCCCAAACGTATCACACCATAAATTGTTTTAAAAGACTTTGTTTTATAAGAGTAACCCTTTATACAAGTCTTTAATAAACTTGTTTAAATTACATGTTTTATTTACAAAAATTACAAGAATTAAAAACAAACACTTTCACTTAAGTTTTTTCAATATGCGAGTCGTCCAGAGCTTCTAAACATCCGTCCAAATGAATTTTCTGTACAGTTTCTCCTTTCTCTGCCAAAATTTCTTCTATATTCTTCTTTCCATTTAAATCAGTGAACCAATTTAAGTTATCAGCAATCAAATGATTGTTATTGCAACCAGAACATTTGACAATAACGACGCCTTTCTGATAAGCCACTTTGCTTATAAACTTTGTATTCCTAGTACTGCAAACTTTACAAGTGAAACCTAACATTGATTTTCCCTCAAGCTTTGCAAGCGGTGTGGAAATTGGTGATTCAGGTTCTGTTTCTGCTTTAACTTCTTGTGGATTGTTTTTTAAACTGTGGTTTATCCAAGAATTGTGAAAATGCCTTGCTGTTGTCACTTGTGGAACCTTCCCATTTTTTTTTAATGTTTGGGCATGAATAAGGGGTGATTTAGTTACGTATCGGAATAAAGTAGTAAAACGCGACCTCCAAGCCATTATTGTGGTACAAGAACAGCAGAATTAATACGAATTATGCACTAATTACTAAAACCTAAAACTCTTTTTGCGACATTACTTTTACTAAGAGTGAGGTTATGCAATGTTCATAGAATGATATTACGTCAAAATGTTAAATTTTAATCTGCTGATGAGTTTATGTCGTTGTATATTTTCACTATATGTTTTAATTCGTTATTGGATATATTTCAACCTTCTAACAGTTCTCACAAAATTTTCTTAAATCAATTAATTTGCAACAAATTATTTAGCGCTAAAATGCATTGGCCAATCACAAACAACTACGTATTGTTTTTCAATCATATATGAACGAAATTTACAGCTGATCATTTACGTGGTGATGTATAATAATTAAAATGTTTTATTTGATTGTAAAGTATGGTTAATTTGTTCTTAGAGTTAGTCATGAGTGAAGTTAAAATAAAAAAAAAGAATTATTTTGTTAGTATTTGGTTGCAGTTGTAACTTTTAAATATAAAGCAACTTTAATTTTAGAGCTTCTAAGTAGTACAACACACAAAATTAGGTTTATTGCTAATCAGCTGTTTTCAAGTGTCAATCATTATCGCCACCATGGCGTTAAATTTCAAGTAAGTCCTCAAAAATTTTCAATTTTTACATTTAAATAATCACTTTGAATCAATTTTCTAAATTACATAAAGTAGTTTTATCTTGTAGCAACTTTCTTACGTTTAAATTTCACGCGTTTATGTAATTTTTTTGTCACTTTTTATAACCGGCTTAACACATAATTTTTTATAGGTACTGGTTCTTTACTTTATTAATACTCTCAACAACGTCAGCAGTCGATAAAAACAATTTTAAAACATGCGAACAAAGTAGTTTTTGTAGGTATGTTTCTACACCCAACTCATGAACCTATTTTGTTATATAAACGTAATTTCAGGCGTTTGAGAAACTTCAAACCTGGAACAGTGTCTTATGTTTTAAATTTAGACACTCTACACGTTTCTGATAACTCAATAGAGGCTGATTTGAAAAATGTGGAAGCTGAATCAGATTTTAGATTTACTTTGACGTCTCTTGCTGGCAATATTTTTAGGGTATTTATTGATGAAGTCAAGCCTATACATCCCAGATATCAAGTTCAAGAAGCACTTAATGGCGAGCCACAAGTGGAAAAGTAATTTTAACAACTTTCAAACTGTTCACAATTCAATTAAAATAATAATTTTTAGATTGGAAGTTTTAGAGCGCACGAAAGACAAAGTAACAGTACGTTCAGGCGACAACAAGGCCGTCGTGACAGCAAATCCTATCAAAATTGAGTTTTTCAAAAATGACGTTCTTGTGGCTGTTATCAATGAGAAGGGATTGTTCAACATGGAACATCTCAGGGCTAAACCTACAGAGGGGTTTGTTTCTCTCATTATATTAGAAATAGACATTTATTATGACATTGTAGTGAAGGGGAAGGAGAACAAGAAGTAAAAGAAGACCCGGGCGCTTGGGAGGAAAATTTCAAGTCGCATCATGATTCTAAACCTAGAGGTCCTGAAGCAGTTGGTGTTGATGTCACTTTTCCTGGAGCTTTCAGGATTTATGGATTGCCTGAACATGCGGATAGGTTGGCTTTGAGGAGCACGGGGCCTGGGGGGCTTGACCCTTACCGGTTGTATAATTTGGACGTTTTCGAGTATGAAGTTGACTCTACTATGGCCATTTATGGGGCAGTGCCGGTGGTCTACGCGCACTCGTAAGTTCCTTATTAAAGAAAAACATTTTTTGTCTGTTAATTTTTAAATTTCAACTCAAATTTGCAGAGATAAGAATACAGTGGGAGTTTTCTGGCACAACGCCGCTGAAACTTGGGTAGACATCGGCAACAGTAAAGACACAAATGTTGTGTCCTCCATCGTAAATCTAGTCTCAGGCCACCAACCTGATAACGTCGTTGATGCTCATTTCATGAGCGAGAGTGGCGTTTTCGATATGTTTGTTTTAATGGGACCTAAACCGAAAGATGCCGTACGACAATACGCCTCTTTGACTGGTGTTGCCCCCTTACCACAAGTAAGAAATACAGTTTTACCGACACCATTTTCCTCACTTTTTCTTTGTAGTATTTTGCTTTAGCTTACCACCAATGCCGTTGGAATTACAATGACGAAACAGATGTCATCAACGTTATTGATAACTTCGATCTCAACGAGTTACCAGTCGATGTTATCTGGCTAGATATTGAATACACCGATGGGAAAAAATATTTCACGTGGGATCCGATTAAGTTTGCACATCCTAGTGAAATGGTTTCGAACTTGACATCGACTGGTCGAAAATTAGTTGTTATCATTGACCCGCATATTAAGCGAGAGGGTGGTTATTTCCTCCATGAAGACTGTCTAGCGAATGACTATTATGTTAAAAATAAAGATGGCAATGTTTATGAAGGTACTAATAATTAATTTTGTGGGGGATGTTATTAAAAAAATTGTTAGGTTGGTGTTGGCCCGGTTCTAGTAGCTACCCGGATTTACTTGACCCCAAAGTCCAAGAGTATTTCAAAAGTTTGTACGCCTTGGACAAGTTCAAAGGGACGACTCAAGACGTCCATATTTGGAACGACATGAACGAACCATCGGTTTTTAACGGACCCGAAGTCACAATGCCGAAAGATTGTAAACATTATGGAGGATGGGAACACAGACATATTCACAACATCTACGGATTACTTTATGTATTTTTTCATTACCGAAGTTGTATGACAATATTCCTCTTTCTATTTTTTCTAGACTCAAATCACTTATGACGGTTTAATTAAACGATCAAGTGACCGTAGACCGTTTATTTTGACTCGGTCACACTTCGCCGGGTCTCAGAGAAGTGCAGCTGTTTGGACTGGGGATAATGCGGCCGAATGGTCCCATCTTCAAGCCAGTTTCCCTATGTGTTTATCCGAGGCTTTGGCGGGAATTAGTTTTTGTGGGGCTGATATTGGAGGGTTCTTTAATAACCCCGATACCGAATTGTTGCAAAGGTGGTATCAGGTGAGTCGGATTGTTTCTGATTGGCCAATTGTCATTTTTGGTTATTTTAGACCGGTATTTGGTTACCATTTTACCGCGCCCATGCCCATCTGGACACAAGACGCCGCGAACCTTACCTTTTCAATGAAGATGTCCGTACTAGAATCAGAAACGCTTTAAGACTGCGTTATGCCATTTTGCCCCTCTTTTATACCTTGTTTAGGGAACACGAGACAACTGGTGAACCGGTGATAAGGCCACTATTTTACGAGTTTCCTAGTGATCCAAATGTTGTGGATATTGATAACCAACTTCTTGTCGGTACGTATTTTAATAAAACCAACGGTCATAGAAAAAATTTTGTATGTACGCGTTAGGTGACAGAATTTTGGCGCGACCTGTGATAGAGTCTGGTGTGTCTTCGGTCAGCGTTTACTTGCCTGGGGGTCCTAACCAGTTTTGGTACGATATTGAAGATTTCAAACAGTATCACGGAACTGGCGTTATCAACATACCAGTGACTTTAGATAAGGTGACTAGTTTTTCCGATTGTAGCAAAATCTTTACGGTGAAAGTTGCTTCTAGATTCCAGCGTTTTATAGAGGTGGAACTATTACTCCTAGGAAAGACAGGCCGAGAAGGTCGTCAGCTTTAACACATCATGATCCTTACACACTCTACGTTGCATTGGACAACAATGTAAGAGTTAAGATACGGCAATGATTCGTTTTGTAATATTTTTTGCAGAAATCGGCTTCCGGTACTTTGTATGTTGATGACGGTGAAAGTTTCGCCTATCGTAACAAAAAATACTTGTATTTGAATTTCGAATTTAAAGACAATACTCTGACTAGCAGGTATGTGTAATTATTTAGTTTGTGTGTTTTTCTATTAATTTGCTTTTTTTCTTAGCTTGATTGATAAGACAGATTTCCCTACTCATGCTTGGATCGAACGAGTGGTCATTTTAGGACCACCTGAAAAAATCACCAAGGCTACTTTAACAAGCAATAGTAAGAATTTCAATTTGTTGAAGTTGGTGTTTATTTACTTGTTTTCAGGTCTAGGTACTGTGAATTTGGAGACTACTTATGATGGAGAAAATCGTTCTTTGGTTATTCGTAAACCTGGTGTTAATGTTAGAGAACCATTTACTTTGAAACTTCATTAAAACTTTTTGTTTATCATTTTTGTAATTATTATTTAATACGTAGTAGTTTTTTATGTGATGCTTCCTTCCATCGTTGATTGTGCAAGAAATTCTGTCAATAAAGAAATCTAATAAAATTAATTTTGTGAATTTTTGTTTACTTACCCATCAAAAATGTTTCTCAAGCGAGGTTCAGTTTTATAGAAAGGTAACACATTCTAAAACCTAATAGATTCCCCCAAAAAATAGCATTTGAAAATAAGTATGAAAATTCGGCATTTATTTTGTTTAAAATAGTTAATCTTAATGATTGATTGTTCATACAGGAAACACTTCATTGGCGATTTAAATTATTGAAACAAACATTATAACAAAAACGATTTCAGTAATATAGTCAAAAAGTTTTTAAATTCCATTTTTCTCGAAAACTACAAAAATGGACCCTCATGCGTTTTTCCCTTAAGCCTTCAACCATGGATAGTAATGAACTTCCCACAAGGTAAAAAAAGTCAACATAACTTGAAAACCAATAATGATAGGTAAAGGGAATGTTGAATTTCCCCAAACGTAACGTTAAATTTTGAATGGTTTGTTAATAATTTGTTTAATTCTGAATACACCTGAAGAAAAATCTAACATTTTTTTCTCATATGCCTAGGATACTCGCCAGGATAGGATTTCATTATAATTAAAAATGGCAGAGTTATAGATTTTTGAAGAGGAACATACAAATCCAAATACTGTTAGGTATACATATTATAAAAAGCGATAAACATTTTGATAACATCAAGACTTGAGTGTACTTATAAGAAAAGCTATGAAAACTCTCTTAGTAATTCGAATAATCCAAAAACGCAGTAAAAACATAGCTGATGTCTATTTAAAATAACAAAGTTGATGCTCATTTTAGGTACAACTGGAAATGCCATCAGTTTGAAAATATTTTCAATGAGCAGAACCTCACCGATTATGCTAAAGGTAAAAAATGTTGAATGTACATTAGTACACCTTTTAAACGTTATCGATTTTGAAAATATAAATTATAGTGATATATTGAACACTTATTTTGATGATTTAACGGCGTGGGTAGTTGTTACGTATACCTACATCATATTAATTTAGTGTCAAATACCACAAAACAATTGTATTATAATAACAACTTCGAGCTTTGACGAGAGAATTTCTAATAGCCTAAAAATGTAATTTAATTAATAATTAGTTCGAGTAACCTAATAAAAACACATAATGTGCCTGGAATTGTGCAAATAAACATCTAAATTAAAGTGAAGCCCATCAACATCAATCATTCCCATAACAATGTAAAAGTTATAACAAATGCAATACATTTTGTTTCATTTCTGTTACCATCGTGGTGGCATTTCATAACTTCCACTTCAGAGTTTTGATTTTTTATCCATCGCTCAAATTGATTAATTAATTTATTTATTATCAAATAAATATCAGGACAAGTTTTGTGATTGTGATTTTTTTTCTCTTAGTCCACCCCTAATAAAAATTTAATTGCTCTCTTTGAGCTAGCTACGGGACTGAATTAATAAATATCTCTATGTCGTACCTAATTGTTTCTTTTTATAATAATTAATGAAAGTTTTCTTTTTATTTGATGAAGAAATGCCGCTTTCTTGAAGTTTAGTAGAACAACAAATACTGTAAATATTGTATACGAGGGTTGCCTTTTATATTTCGGGAATGGGTAATCCTGGTGCTACAATTTGGCAACTGACGTCTCTATTGCAAAATTTTACTTTTTTACGGTATGTATATATACTCCGAACATTTTAATGTAAAGGCATTCTTTGTGTTGTCTACAGGGACTTAAAAATTTCATGTCGGTCAAAAAATGGAATTAACTCGTGAACATTTCAGTGCGATTATTTTTTACAATTTTCGACGTGGATTTCCTCAACAACAGTACATCAATGAATTGATGAAGCAGTATTAAAAACTACTGTATATCGGTGGTAAACTGAATCGTGGCCGTGGTTTGCTCACTGACGAATTTCGTTCAAAATCGATTGTTATTTCAAAAAAACATTGATGCTGTGCGTGAAATGCTGTCATGTGACATATCGTAGGACTGAGGCATTTTTGGTTATTAGTGGAACTACCATACATTCAATATTGCATGAACATTTGGCCGTCAAAAATTTTTTTTGGCAATAGCTCAAGAAAACGTTGGAGTCGATTGGCCAAAATAAATGCTTAAAAAATACGATCACAGTGCTTCAAAACATGTCTTTAACACATAACAGATGACAAATGGGTACTAATAAAACGATCAGTAACTTTAATTAAAATCAGTAAAATATTATAAAATGTAAAGAATTTTCAGTATTGATGGTTACGTAACAATGAATGACCCCTGCGCAAGAATGATTAGCAAGGACTCATGGGCTGGACGCAGTGCGCGCATGGTGATCAGCCTTCATCACTGCTGTGCTCTTTATACCACGATTTTGTTTTTGAACGCTTTGCGATATTCTGGTTTTGCTCGGAACCATTTTGTTTAAAAATTAAAGTGTGAATATTAATTAGTTTTACTGTAGATTTATTCACTGTCTTTATTGTGCATTTATTATTGATACTATGCGGATGATGCGTTCAAAATGCCTGTTTTAAATTTTCAATCGGAGTGGAAAAAGACAAAATTGGTTCAGGCGCATGCAGAAATGTATTGATCTTCACTGAGAATATTTTGAAAAACAATAAAGCCATGTACAATAATTTTTTGTTTTGTCCTCCATTTTCGAAATATAAAAGACAACTCTCATATATGAACAGAAAATATTGCTTATTAATATAAAAAAGCTTTTCTTTTGAATAATTATAATGTTATCAATAGAAATGGTGGATGCGCCGGGACAGTTAAATGGGTTCTTATCATTCTTACCATTAATTATTACTATTACAATAGAAATCAATAAGAATAAAATGTACTGTGGGGGTTTAGATGTGGTAGCAGAATAAGAGTGCTAGGTTGAAATAGGAATGTCGTATATTAATCAACATTTATAAAATATTTTAAATTGTAACAAACATGACTAGATTCATACTGATTCACAAAAAAATGACAATGAGCGGCGCCTTTTTTGGACGCGCACGGTTGGTGTGTGTCGGCGGGAGGGATGCGAGGCGGGCCGGTCCCCCCGCACGCCCCCAGCCGCTAAGGAACGAAACAACAATAATAACATTAACATACACAAGTATACCGCCTGATACAAAGAAATGAAACCATTGTTCCGGTGTTTTGATTATTGATTATCTACACAGTAATGATTATTAGCATTCGAATTCGATTTAAATAGTGATATATTGCGAGGGGCGGGCGCGTGCGGCCGCAGGTCGGTGCCGGCCGGCGATCCCCGAGGCCCCCATGGGCCCCCGGCCGCACGCCCCCGACCGGTCCGGCTACGCGGGTGGATATGTAACAAGGGCTAAAGCTAATCCAACCCTAGGTAAGCTTCACACAGCCCAAAAATACAAGCACTTAAAACAGTGCCGACAACTAATAGAGTTCGGTGTGAGCACTACACAGCATTCGTCGCATCTCGACGCGCCACGACGCGGGCGCTGACAAGGCCTACCGGAGACGACGCCCCCTGCACAACTCTGCCGATCCTTTCGGTCCGCTCTCTACCACGCAAACACACCCTTACCACACAACAAACTGCACTGATCAGGGGACAGAACTGCCACCAGAAAGCACCAAAATATCAGAAAATACACACTTTTTACTAGCATTGGATATCTGACAGACCACACCCTGCATAATTCCTACGCTTTTTGTCAAATTAGAAAATAAAAAAATTACATTTTTGAAACGTTTTCATCCATTTTTGAAAATAACATCCAGGTTTTTCTAAAGTAGCAAAAATACAAACACTTTACAATAATATTTCACAAGACATGTCAAAAGCTATTAATTTCGTTCAATTTTGTTAATTAATTGTTCCTAAAAGGAACCACAATTCGGCCACCTTAACACCAGACATTCAATGCTTTTGTTTGACCAAAATATCTGATCAAATCATGTTATTTCAGTTTCTGCTTGATTATTAAAAAAATATCCATTAAAAAGAATAAAATGATCTGATTTGATATTTTGACGAAAAAGTGTCAGAATTTTAGTAATAGTTTTTTAAACTCTTATTAGTTACAATTTGATCACATGTTTCTTGGTGTAAAAATAAGCAGACATTTTCGGTGCTTTCTTTTTTTAATTGGAAGAAAATAATCCTAAACTCTTACTTAAAATAATATCACTCTTACAATATCATAAGTACCCCTTTGATGGACCAAATCGTCGTCCACTTTGAGTGGAAAATCAGATTTTTGGGTTTTAAAAATTGTATTTATTGGTTTCGATGATTGAGTGGCAAGTGGGTCAAGGTCACGTCTTCTGAAGTAATAACAAAAAAAAGTTAGTCAAAACTAGAAAATCCACTTGCCCTTAAAGAATTTCTTCGTGAATTTATGAAAATGGTTTAGTTACTATTATATAATAAAAATTTCATTTTACGAGCCACCGAATTGTCCTCCTCGAGTTTCTTCGTTGCTGCGACAATACATAAGTGGCGTTACCTTTGAACTTATTTGAGTAAAGTGGACATAAATTTGCAGATAGGACTTAAATTTGATTACACTTTTTATCTCGATACAACCAACGAAAAGGAACATAAAGTAAAAAGTTTGAGCTTGTCCGTTAGGATAAATTCAGTTGTATCGATGTTTTGCGTATACATACAAGATATGTATGATATCAGTCCTAAAGTTCACAGCGAGACGTGTTGTGAACGAGATTGGTCGAGCAAAGGTTGGTTCAGACATTCTTAATTAATTTTGGCTGGATACTCGTATTTCATGAGTATTATTAGTCAATTAGAAATAGTGCAAAATTTGTTTTCCTTATAACTATTCGTAAAGGCAGTACAGTTTTCTTAAGCCATTTCTATGACTTATTAATGTTTAATCTTACAAACTTTAATATTTACCTAAATCGAAAATATCACTTTAATAAGGGTACAAAATCTTTGGCTAACTTTAATGTAACAGTAAATTAAATTGAGGTTTTAAGGAAGTTGTTATGAGTCGTTTAGAATATTCATTGTTTTACATAAAAAGCAGCAATCTTGATGACTTATCTGAACAATAATATCCGTTAAATGCTCTGCTCTGCCACTAAAACTAAAAGCAATAAGTATTTATCTGCTACGGTATTTATACTTAGTTAAAATTCAATGTTAATTTTTTAAGTACATTCATTCGAACAGGATCACAATTTTAATAACTTCTGAATTGGGAGTAATACAATAACTATGTACAGTTAGTTAAATTTGAAATTTCTTGGCCGAAGCGTGAAATTTCGGTGGCATAAGAGACTAAGGCTGCGTCTACACGAAAGCGTGTAGTGATCGCTCGACTGAGGCCTGAGCACCCAACTGTACATGAGGAAAGATGAGGGACAATCAAAACATCTTAGGAAGAAAGCAATCATCAGTTTCGAGACATGCTCTGTTGAAATAGTGATTAGTTTTATAGTTGCTATAATTCGAATCACAATTTCGGAAGAGAACGAGACTGGTGAGAGCTTTTTTCCGGTTTAACAGTGAAAATGTGAGGTAAAAACGCCCTAATTGACTGGACCGACAGGACCGCAGACCGATTGAGCGGGGTGTAAGGTGGTTGCCGCCGGCCGATGCGCGTTGTTTACTCATTAAATTACGTTATCATTATTATTATAAGTTATTCATTATTTATAGGTATTTATTATTATGTAGTAATTATGTTATTATTATATGTTTGGCAGGATATCTCACCCAAAAACAATCGTTATGGTAATACAAAAGTACCGAGAACAAGTACTGTGAATTTGATGTAGCAGTTCGGTAAGCGTCCGGAGCACTGCGCGCACACACTTGCTTTTCCTGCTGCTGGCGAGAGTTGTTGCTGCGGGAGGTGGTGCTGATGCTGGTGGCGGCGACGATGGGGGCGGCAGGTGGCGACGGCGGCGATGGTAACACCAACTTTGGACGCCGAGTAGCCGTGGGCGCAGCGCATCCGTCACTGCAATCACAATTTCGGATTTAATTAGCGACAACGACGTCAACATTTACTATCATATCGATCAGGTTAGTGAACCGGAATACTCGGAGCGCATTGAATATAGGAATTAATGGGAAATTTCGCACATGGGACGGTTTTACATATTTTTTTCATGCAGACCCTTTTTTCTGCGACCTGCAAAACCAAGCGCTTTTTTGACGCTGTGAGGAGTGATGGTTACATCACATTATGAGACTCATACATAATAATTATTGAAAGCAGACGAAAAAGGCAGCAAAAATGGAAAAAACTGGAAAGAAATAAAATAAGAGATTTACCGGATTTCCCAAATTAACATTCAAATTAAGAACACATGTGATAAATTTTATCGAGTACTTAAAACGTGGTAATAAAAAATATACAGGGCTGTTCAGTCCAAGTCGCCCCGGCCGATAACACCTAAACTTTATTTTTCAAAAACTAAATTTTCAAATAATACTATTTATTCCTCGTTTTCTTAGTAAATGCATCAAATTTTTTTGGCACATCCGGTGTAGTCGGAAATGCTACCAAATTTAGTTTTTCAAATGGAACACCCATGTTTTTTACTCGAAACAATAATAATTGGTAATAATAATAACGGTAAACCATTATTTATTACATTTTACTTTACATAATGCACTCAGAAAATAATTTCAATTTTTGAATTTTATTGCAAATTTTGCAACGTAGGCGGATTTTACTTGTCAAGGTATTCATGCAAAAAGCAATATGCTTGGATACCGTTTAATTGTTAGTTTGACAAAGCCTAATTTGTCAATAAATCTTATTGAGATCTTTAATAAAGGATGATATTAATTACGCACGAGGAATTGATACTGAGACGAATAGGTTCGCTTCTTAAAACTAAAAAACCTGTGGTTCTTTGTGAAGAACAAGAAAATAGAAATCTGAATGTTCTGTTATCAGTCGAAGAAAATCCAAGAGTTTCCATAAGAGAACTCGCTCATCAACTGACAAATTAGATTTGTCAAACCAACAATTAAACTGTATCTAAGCATTTTTTATTCACATCTTTCCTTTAAAATTAAAAATCAGGCTACGCGACCAATTTCCTTATAAAATTCTAAGATTTAAGATGTTTTTTGATTGCATTGTGTTACGCAAAATGTAATAAATAGTGGTTTACAGTATTTTTCATGGCAATTATTATTGTTTGGAGGAAAAAAACGTATGTTCCATTTGAAAAACTAAATTTGGTAGCATTTCTGGCAACACCGCATGTGTTAAAAAGAAAATACATTTATTAAGAAAGCCAAGAATGAATATTATTACTTACATATTTACTTTTTGAAAAAAAGAAGTAAGTTTAGGTATTATCAGCCGGGGCGACTTGGACCGAACACCCTGTACATAATAATTTATAACAAATTAAGAATAAAGTAGCACAACCTTAAAAAAATAGTAAATAGGATTTGTGGAAGTTTATCGAATTTTATACATGTTACTTAACATTCAAAATAAAAACATAAAAAATGCTAAATTGTTTGATTAAAACAAAACTTATTGTGTTCAAAAATTAGGAAACTCTTATACATAACAATAAACAAAGAAGGCAAGTTATAATGTATGAAAGTTTCAAATTACTATTACAAAATAAGACTACAAAGATAATATTTTTTAATGCGTTCAAAAATTAAAATTCAAAGTTCCAAAATCAATTTTTTAAAAGAGGTAAGTATTAACCGGAAAATGGTAGCTGAGACACTGTATGTTAAAAATATTTCAACAACAATAAATAAAACAATAAACTCACTATTTTCTGTAAGTTTTCTCTAGAACTATCACTCCGCTAACCACTAAGATATCATCGAACTATATTTATTAACATGCAATTTTTTTATTTCAGAATTTTTTATATCAAACATTCGATTTTGTAATTAGCAGCAAACAACGAAGAAGGTTTAACTTGTTGAACTAACAACGTTCTAATATGCTAACAAAAATTCACTTTGAAACCGTATTTTATTGACTGTAATGCCAATAATAGCATTTAGTTTGAAAATAACGGATATTATTTAGTAGTTGAGTTTTATTCCTGTAATTTCTGTACCTAAAATATTCACAATAACCTTGGATTGAAGACTTTTAAATCTGATTTTAACCATTAACCAACATGTCTACTTTTCAATAAAAATGAATGTAAGGCCCGAATTTGTAAAAAGAAAATTAAAGAATGAGCAATAAGCTTTGCAAAATTTACTTTGTTTGAGTAATAAATAGAATAGTGGGCAGTTTATTTGAAATCGTTCAATATATTGTCAGAATGTTTTCTAAATTTATATTGGTTAATTCTACAAATCAAGCAATTTTGGCTTCTTTTATGTGTTTAATAGTTAAATTAAATGACGCATTTACTCCAACTTAACTAACTTGTAGCTCATCAAAAAATCACAATCTAAATAGGCTCCTAACCTTAGCAAAAATTATTTTATCGACGACTGTTAAATAATAATGTTATTATAGGCGTATCCAGATACACATAATTTAGTTCATATTACACTCAATATAAAATCATATTTCACGACTCTTTCCTTTAAGGGCTCCTGTTTGAACGCAATTTGACATTTTTATTAATTAAATTAAAACGTCAACTTTGACAATACCAAAAATCACGAATATTTTATAGGCGTAGATAAAGCATAGTATTCTACTCGCATATAATGGCTATTATCACTCAGGTGATTAAAAAACTCCTGTACGACTCGTTTTTTAATCTTCACATTTTTGAATAACAGCCATAATGAATATTATTCCGTAGAAATCTTGAAAGTTTTATATAAAAATAAGGATGAATTCAAAGTGTACACTAAAAACTGAATAAAAATAGTTTTTAAATAAGAATTTATTTACCAAGAAATTTTTCGCGTTCTTGGTAATCGATGATTGATTCGATATGGAATCTGGCCAAAACATTAAAACATATACGCGGTATGAACGATATATCTTTTAGTTTTTGTTTACATTTTTGACAACGTCAGTTCGCCACCAGATTTGGAACAAGCTCTATTACACAAGGCGACAAAAAAAAGTCATGTCGTGACAACTTGACAACTTTTATATCATTTTGTTCGTCTCAGTGAGACAAATCAAATGCTTTAAAAAATTTCAAAAAGTCCACACTCTTTGAATTATTTTTTTTAATTTAAATGAATTTAAAATACTTTAACTTTAAAAAATTATTACTCAATAACTAACTATTAGGCCGATTTCCTTCAAATAAAGACCATTCTAAAGGGATGGACTTGTCCTTTGAAATGATATGTAATTTGAAATTGAATATTGGCAAACTTTTCTTCGAACAGTGTTCGAAGAAGTTCGAAGTAATCTAAGAAAAACCCTACGAGTAATGTCACCATCGTGTAGAGCATCTTTTTATTAGTAAGAATCCAAATTTTTAAAATAATATACCGAGTAGTTTTTAAGATATGATTTTTTTGAAGTTAAGATTTGCTATTCAGGTATTGCGCCATATAGGAGAAATGCATGTTAATCTTACTTAAAATTGCATTTTTATAAAAGTATTTGTTTTAAGACTCTTCTTTTGCTTAAAAATGGTCAATTGCACCTTCTTTGTTCTAATTAGAATAAACAAAAACTGTTTGTTTACTTAAAACAAACAAAGAGTACCTGCGTATTAATTAAACCAAATAAAGTTTTTTTGTTGTAATAATGATCACGGATCATTGAGCAAAAAGGATTTAGAAGTTTAAAGCAGTAGCTTTATATACAGGATGCGCTTGAACTCGCGCCCCAGAGAAAAAATAAGGTAAGTTACCAGGAACATGGAAAAAATGTAAAAAAAATTTTCTCCATAAAAATTTCGAAGTTATGAGGGTTTAAAGTTTGCACTTTGACTCTATTTATTTCCGTTGAAAAAATAATTTTCCTAGTTTTTTTGCTATAGGCTATTAAAAGAGAAAACACAAGCTGTATCCTAAATTGTAACTCTGTTCAATGTTACTTGTGGCTTTTATTGGCAAAATTTTTGTCCCTTTACTAAATAATTGTAAAAAAACATATACAAGATCATCAGTATCATTAAATAGACATAAAAAAAAATATCAAATGTGAACAATAAATGACAAAATTTTTTGACAGAGTTTTTTAAACATTTTTTCCATGTTCTTGGTATCTTACCTTACTTGAATTTTTTCTCTGGGGCTCGAGTTCTTAAACACACTATAGTATAGTCTTAAAAATAAGCACGATTATACGTAAGTGAGAATGCAGTATTTCTTTTTTTTGCGAATATCTGACGTACGGAAAAACTTTAGCCTTACCACAGGCTAAGTACTAGGAGTATATCCATCCCGACTATCGAGGTTGTTTGTATTGTATCTCTATTAAAAAATATATATCCGGTTTTTTATACATTACTTTAACACAAGATATTTATCAAAAACAGAAAAATGTTTAAATTAAATTATATTCAAAAATTATGATAATTGCATTTTTCTCCTTAACATATTTCATTTTCCTATAATTTGAAGTTACGTACGCCTTTAGTCCTCTGTATAATTGTTCTGGCGGTTAGAAATAAAAGTCTAAACACAAACTGTGTGTTTAGTTTAGTGTTTTCTATCTGCAAATAGATAACACTAGAAATTCATGTCTGAAAGAGAATATAGTTATCAAATGATTATTACTTTCGAATGTGTTATCGTCCATTTTGTTTCAGTATAGTATAGAAAAAAGGTATTTGGTGTTTTTGGACTGGTTATTGGAAATAGAATTTTTCGGCAACGTTTCGATTTTTATTTAATCTTCATCATCTTCATCAGGTCGTCAATTGTTTTACAAACGGGCAGCGTGATGTTCGGGCATTTGGGTTTTTGAAATGTTGCCAAAAAATTATATTTCCAATAGCTAAACTTTTTGACAGATAGAATTTTTTAAACATTTTTTTCATGTTCCTGGTATCTTGCCTTACTTGAAAATTTTCTCTGGGGCGCGAGTTCTGGCGCACGCTGTATATGGCGCAATACCTAAAAAGCAAACTTTTTTATTTACAAACTCAAAAAATCACTAAAAAAACTACTAGGTATATTATTTTAAAAATTTGGATTCTTATTTATAAAAATATGCTCTACATGATGGTGACGAAGAAAAAAAAATTACTCGTAGGGTTTTTCTTAGATTACTTCGATTTACTTCGAACTTCTTAGAACACTGTTTGAAGAAAAGTTTGCCAATATTCAATTTCAAGTTGCATATCATTCTAAAGGGCAAGTCCATCCCTTTAAAATGGCCTTTATTTGAAGGAAATGGGCCTAATAGTTATTGAGTAATAATTTTTTAAAGTTAAAGTATTTTAAATTCATTTAAATTAGAAAAAAATTATTTAGTTCAAAGTATGTGGACTTTTTCAAAAAAATTTTAGTGCATTTGATTTTTCTCACTGAGACGAACAAAATGATATAAAATTTGTCAAGTTGTCACGACATGATTTTTTTTTGTCGCCTTGTGTTAAGCTTTGTATTCTTGGCTCTCCTTAAAATTCATGCAAAAATATAAAAGTAATAATATTTTCAGTAAATAATTGGTCTAATAGTTTAGGTTTAGTACAAAAATTTGCAACTTCTGCAGTACTGCAGTGCCCCACATCTCCTCTGTTGCCAACTGTAATCCTCTCGACAAGCAACGAAAAAGTTAGTTTGGAGGAATCTTCGAAATAACGCAGATTGACAGATTGATATCTGCAGATATATGTTTGATTCGAAGTAACATTGCAGCGAGCGTGACCTCGTGGTGCTGCATCGTCGGATGGTGGTCCAGGGCCAGGGTCGGGGCAGGGGTGAATTCGCACCTCGCGTATCGAACGCTCGCGGCGCATCACTCGTTACCATGCCTACGTAGTACAGCGACGGCGACGGCGCCCTCGACGTCCATCCGAAAACGTTACCGAATTCAATGATGTTACATGAATCGCTCGAGAGGCGGAACGCAAAACGAAAAATAACACAAAAGAACGAATTTCCAATAGAAATGATGTCAGACACGTGGAAAAATTTAGAAATTTCTCTATAATGAAATATCAACACTAGCCCCTCTTTAACCTCGACAAATTTTAGTTCACTAAGCAATTTGACCAAATTGGAATTTTTTTGTTTAATATCTTTTTTGACAAAAATGGATTACAATCACTATACAGGCTGTCCGGAAAAAAAACGTTAAAAAGTTTGAGAATGATTCAAAAGTGTCGGGTCAACTGTCGAATTGTAGAAAAATGTATAGAGTTTATTTTCAAGTATTTTTTAAATTTACATATTATCATGTATAGACTAAATTCAAGAATATATTATCTGAACGGCCAAGAACTTAACCCAAAATCTAACCTTTGAAGAGCTAAATCTCGTAAAAAAAGACTCAATTTTTTGTAATGGAAACTTTTTAACTCTATTAGATGTCTTTTAGCACCACCCAAGAGATAACCCAAGACTTTTGAATTACCCTGTAAAAAATATCTTGACTTGAGTTGGTCTAAAGAATTAATCCTCCAAATTTTTAAAAGTTTTTTTTTCCGAACAGCCGATAAAATAAAAAGTATTTGTGTGTAAGTATTTTTAATATACAGTCTGTTTCAGAACTCGCGCCCCAGAAAAACAATTCAAGTAAGGTAAGATACCCAGAACATGGAAAAATATTTAAAAAATTCCGACAAAAAATCTTGACATTTATTGTTCACATTTAATATTTTTTTATGTTTATTTAATGTTACTGATGATTTTGTATATGTTTTTTTCATAATTATTTAGTAAAGGTATTTACAAAAATTTTGCCAATAAAAGCCACAAACAACGTTAACATAGTTACAAGGATACAGCTTCCTCATTTCCTCTTCTAATAGCCTACAGCAAAAACATAAACTCCCATAATTTCGAAATTTTTATAGATAGAATTTTTTTAACTTTTTTTTCCATGTTCCTGGTATTTTATCTTATTTGCGATTTTTCTCTGGAGTGCGATTTCTGAAACACCTGTACAGTGTAGGTACACATGAAAACTGTTGCAGTGTGTTTTGAAGTATTAAAGCAATCGTTATATTTTTTTTATTTCCTATTTAGTTTGTAAAAACTCTTAATGCCTCTCATTTGCTAACAGTACAGTATACTATAGAAAAAAGGTATTTGGTGTTTTAGCTATTGGAAATACAATTTTTTGGCAACATTTCAAAAACCCAAATGCCCGAACATCACGCTGCCCGTTTGTAAAACAATTGACGGCCTGATGAAGATTAAATAAAAATCGAAACGTTGCCGAAAAATTCTATTTCCAATAACCAGTCCAAAAACACCAAATACCTTTTTTCTATACTATACTGAAACAAAATGGACGATAACATATTCGAAAGTAATAATCATTTGATAACTATATTCTCTTTGAGACATAAATTTCTAGTGTTATGTATTTGCAGATAGAAAACACTAAACTAAACACACATTTTCTGTTTAGACTTTTATTTCTAACCGCCAGAACAATTATACAGAGGAGTAAAAGGCGTACGTAACTTCAAATTATACGAAAATGAAATATTTTAAGGAGAAAAATACAATTATCATAATTTTTTAATACAATTTAATTAATTTAATTTAAACATTTTTCTGTTTTTGATAAATATCTTGTGTTAAAGTAATGTATAAAAAACCGGATATATATTTTTTAATAGAGATACAATACAAACAACCTCGATAGTCGGGATGGATATACTCCTAGTACTTAGCCTGTGGTAAGGCTAAAGTTTTTCCGTACGTCAGATATGCGCAAAAAAAAAGAAATACTGCATTCTCACTTACTTATAGTCGTGCTTATTTTTAAGACTATACAATGTGTTTCAGAACTCGAGCCCCTGAGAAAAAATTCAAGTAAGGTAAGATACCAAGAACATGGAAAAAATGTTTAAAAAACTCTGTCAAAAAATTTTGTCATTTATTGTTCACATTTGATATATTGATATATTTAATGTTACTGATGATCTTGTATATGTTTTTTTCATAATTAATTAGTAAAGGTACAAAAATTTTGCAATAAAAGCCACAAATAACATTGAACAGAGTTACAATTTAGGATACATCTTCTTTGTTTCCTATTTTAATAGCCTATAGCAAAAAAACTTGGAAAATTATTTTTCCAACAGAAATAAATAGTCAAAGTGCAAACTATAAACCGTCATAACTTCGAAATTTTTATAGATTTTTTTTAACATTTTTTCCATGTTCCTGGGGCGCAAGTTCTGGCGTATCCTGTATACCGATAATAAAATTAGTCTATTGAAATTCCAGTTGTAAATTAGTCAAGCATGTTTTTGCCTGCTACCTTTAAGAAAATACAACTTTAGTTTTTCTCAAGATTTGTATGCACTTATGGGACCCTTTGTATCAAGTTATTTTAAACATGTGAGTTAAACAAACCCCTATAAATTGCAGAAACAGTAATGTTTGTAAATTAGAGTACAAATTTATATAGTCATATTTAATTAATTACTCATTACTCAATTACTTATTTGTGTTAGTAATTAAGGCTAGGTTAAAAGTATTTCTCTTATGGCGTTTCCAATGTAAAAGAATTGCGGCTATATAAGTTATTTGAAAAGATATCAACGTCGTTTCAAAACTCAATGTATCTTAGAAATGATATCTACAAAATGGCCGAAACAAAATTTTATAAAATCTAATACTTAAGTATACTTAATTAACATCTTTTTGGACTAAAACACTTATAAAGACACCCAGGCTTCAAAATGAAAAAACTCTTCGGCCATTCGGTAGAGATTTTTATTTGAAACAGCTTGGTGTTTTTAGTTTTTTTTCTGTTATTAAAAATAAGCGTGATATCGCGACAATTCTAATTCGTTGGAGCACAAAATTTCTCGAACGATGATTTATGGCAGATGATTAGACAAATCCTGAGAAAGATTTACAGTGGGACCGGGGGGTTTGAGTAATTAAATCAAATTTTTGAGACAATATTGTCTGCATAACAGCTCTTTCGAGTTTTATAACAACATGTTACAAAACAGAAGATTTTTGTAGACTATAGTTAAAAAATGATAAGTAAGAATCTATACCTAAATAATAAATACTATGCTGTAATTTTTTAAGTTATTTTGAATTTTCTAGATTGATTTTCTACATTTTATGTCATAAATTCTCTATAAATATGGAAAATATGTTAAATGTTCGAAAATTGTGGTCAAACTTCCTGCAATAGATGTTGTGTGGAAAGGACTCACCTTGTAGTCAAACGTCAGTCTCGATGCTCATGGCGTTGATGTTGTTGTTGTGGCGCGGATTGCAGTTCTGCTTCCGGACCAGCTGGTCGCGCGTCACCAGCAGGCCCTCCTCCAGCTCGACGAGATCGCTGGAAGATTCGCTTAGCGAGCTCTTCTTCATATGTTGGCCTAAGGTGCCTGGCAGGTACGGGCAGCTGGTCACGTGGTTGAAGTTCTGCGACTGCATCTCTTCCTGATCCGTCTCACGGTGATAAAAGTAATTGAAATTCGATACTATGACTGGCACTGGCAGCGCAATGGTCAATACACCAGCGATTGCACACAGCGAACCCACGATCTTGCCCCAAACGCCGACCGGCCTGTGAACGAAAACAGGTTAGAGCGTGCGATGCCCACAATGATGGTGCGTCTCTTCTTAGTCGCTTTATCCTCGCAATAAACCATGCAGAAACCGCAAAGAAGCAACACAAACACGAGCGGGAAGGGATGGGACGGGCTCATGCAGGGCCGTGGTGAGTTCACATTCCAATAGAAAATTCTTTGTTCCTTGGTTCGGATAATAGGCCAATCAAAACCCCACGCCAAACCGAACGGCTTACCGAAATTTCACTCATTCAAAATTCTTACTGGGGGCAAAAACCCTTCAAATCACTCTTACCCTTACAACGTCTCATCTAAACTCATCTGGACTCGAATATGAAGTTCGCAAATTAAAATAAAAATCTTCACTTTTTAAGAAACAAAAATATTATTTTTTTCTAGATAAAATCAACATTATTTTTGCTGCGGTATAACCATGGGCGTCGTTTGCAGGGGGCAAGGTGGGGCATGTGCCCCAACATTTTTACGGAATAAGTTTTATTCCGTTAGCGGTAAACTATTTTTTTTCCAATTTTGTTGTGAAAAGCAACCATTGTGATATGTCATTTTAGTTGTCAAATGTGTTTAATTTTATCACTAGCTATAAAATATGACATTATTTTATCACTAGTGTTAAAAAGTGTGACATAAAGAAAACAAATAACACTATTTTCATAGCAACGCCACGACCTAGTACGATTTTGGATAATTATTGAAATGACAGATTTTAAATTTGAATTTGATGCCTATGCTTTTGGAAAAAATCTTGTATAAAACACGATTCAAAATGGCTGTTTTTGCACACTTCTAGTAAAAAACACGCTCATTGTGCAACATTTTTTTTAGTAACATTTTTTAACTTTTTTATCATAGACGATTTTGGTTAAGAAAAACGAAATTTAAAACTTTTATTTTATGTTTTGATCTCAACATTTTTCTTAGTATTTATTACGAGTAGTTTATGTTATTTACTGATTTGTGTTATTTTATGCTTAACTATTATAATTTTTATATTTTTTATATTTTCTAAACTTTTACACTTTTATACTCCAATTTATGGTTTTAGAGATTCCTGTCTTATGGTTTCATTTATAATTTCCGTTAGAAAAAATTTGGTTTTATATTCCTATTTTGTAAACATGTTTCTGTGTTTGTAATGAAATATGTATTTTTAAACTGCGATGAGGTTGCCCCTTTCTAAAAAGATGTAACGACGCCCATGGGTATAACACAAAACTAAATAATCATTTTACAATTAAACTTTGAGTACCTAATGGCAATTTAAAATGTTGAAGTACTTTTTTTGTAAAAACCTTTTGAAATAATTATGTTCACAAATAAATCTAGAAAATAAAATCTATAAAAATGTTAAATATGATCTGTTTAGTAGTTTTAATTTTATCTTACTAGTTAATAATTTTTTTTTTCAGTGAAAAATGTATATGATATAAATTGAATTACTTTTCATTACTTTACTAAAAATTGCTTAGTAATTAAATGAACAATAAATTTAAGGAACTATTTTCGTGATTTTTGAAATTTCGGCGTCATTCACGAACGTCTTATTCGAATCTGGAGATGATTTTGCGTGAAACCTTTCGTGAATATCTTATTTGGGTAAGGGTAAGTTGGTGATTTGTGTTCGATTTGTGTTAGAGGTGCAATTGAGTGGCCTATGAGACAAGCAACATCGAGCACACATCGAGCGTCACGACATCAAGGGTTCGATGGGGGCCGGCGTTGGACGCGTCCTCGGAGCAAAGAATTTTCTCGTGGTCTCGAATCTCTTTGTGTGTTTAGCTACGGTGGAGGCAACTAAATCTGAATTAGGTGTGTACATCATACGTCATGTCGCCGTAGCCCACAGTCGTCATGGTGACCACTGCCCACCAGAACGCGTCTGGGATGGACTTGAAGAAGGAATTCTCGGAGCCCGCCTCGGCGAAGTAGACGGCACTCGAGAAGAGCACGACACCTGCAAGGAGGAGGAGGGGTGAGTCGGGCTCTGTGTGCTACTGTACCTCATGTCGCCGTAGCCCACGGTGGTCATGGTGACCACGGCCCACCAGAACGCGTCCGGGATCGACTTGAAGAACGACTGCTCGGCTCCCGCCTCGGCGAAATACACGATGCTGGAGAAAAGGACCACTCCTGCAACAGACAAAAGGAGCAGGCCAAAGAGGGCCGGGACGTCCGAGTCAGTTGTCGATGGACACCACCATCACCATCACAGACTACCATTCAACCACATCACGCACAGCGATGCCAGCAACCACATTCAAATGAGCTCAAATATTTTTGACTATTTATTGCTCGAGGATAATTCGACATTTCATGGGCGTTAGCCCGACCCTAAATTAAGAACTTGGCTATGTTTATGATGCCTAGCATTTGGCGGATAATAAAGTCCACCAATAGAATTTTGCGACGATAAATGATGATAGTTTGAAAAAATCCTAAAAGCAATTTAGGCGTGAGGCGTTTGTTGTCAACAACTTTTTGTACTTGTGTGTACACTGCCGTAAATAACAAATACCAAATGTGACAAAAAAAACTTCCTCCTTTATTATGAAATAACTTCTAAATTTTAAAAAAGTTACAATTTTTTGAACGTACAAATCGGGAATGTGAAGATTATTACAAATAAAGTCCAAAATGTGTTGTAAATATGACGTTTCAGTGGTTTATTTCCATTTTCTTTAGATCATTAGACATGTTTTATTTAAAGAAAATGGAAATAAACCATTGATATTTAAAATACATTTTAGATTTTATTTGCAATAATTTTCACATTCCTTCTAAATTTTACACAAAAAAGAATCACAGGTGTTAAATTTTTAAAATCTCTCCAAAACCAGGTTAATAAAACTACTTAACAAATGATTACCGCTCATTTGGATCTGGCTTACCACTGCATTTTCGTAATTACTGATTAGTGAAGCTACAAAGTTGATGAAATTACTGAAGTTGCACGGTTTTTAACACTGACGACCTTTGAGATAATAATATAAGAATGTATAAGAATTTTTTACAGAAATAACATTAAATTAATAATAAGTTTTGTTAGCAGAACTAAGTAATTTGCGTCTTACGTAAGAGCGAGTTGTGCGAATTAAGTGAAACAAATTTTCGAATCGCTTGCAAATTAAAACAAGTCGTTATTATTTAAATGAGTCTAGTAAACAAAGAGTCGCAATAGAGCATTAGTTCCAGTGAGAAAAAGTGTTTCTGTCTCTATTTTAAATATAAAACAATAATCGTTTAGTCTCTACCGCAAAAACAATATTTTTGAAAATTTTTTGTCATGCATTAGTCCTTAAAACACTTATTAAATTAAGAGAAACATTATTTATTAAGTCGACAAAAATCACCAAATTATCAAAAAGTAAAGTTTCAAAATTCGAATTGATTAAATCAGCAAGATTATGACTTATTAGTGTTATTACAAAGAAGAAAAAAAAAGAAAAGAAAAGCATTTTATCTGTTACCATTTAGTTTTTCTTGAAAACAAGTTGTTTAACTAGAAAATATTCCGTTCCATACATGCTATCTCTGTATACATAACACTAGGTGTATACTGAAGTTAGGTATACTGGGTGCGCCAGAACTCGCGCCCCAGAGAAAATTTTCAAGTAAGGTAAGAGGTACCAGTAGGTAAGAAGTACCAGGAACATGAAAAAAATGTTGACATTTATTTTTTGACATTTGACATTTTTTTATATCTATTTAAGGATACTGATGATCTTGTATATGTTTTTTTACAATTATTTAGTAACGGGACAAAAATTTTGGCAATAAAAGCCACAAATAACATTGAACAAAGTTGCAATTTAGGATACAGCTTTCTTGTTTCCTCTTTTAATAGCCTATAGCAAAAAAACTTGGAAAATTATTTTTCCAACAGAAATAAGTAGAGTCAAAGTGCCAACTTTAAACCCTCATAACTTCGAAATTTTTATACATAATTTTTTTTAACATTTTTTCCATGTTCCTGGTATCTTACCTTATACGTCATTTTTCTCTGGGGCGCGAGTTCTGGCGCACCCTGTATAGGGTGAGTCTTACGGATAATTTTAGGGTATGATAAGTTATGCCAAACAATAACTAATAGTGAAAAAAAAAACTTCTAATAATAGTTTCTTAGTGACCGAAATATACCCCGTGTTAAATACACGATTGGACTTTAAAATTTAGATAATTTGCGCTGATGAGACCAATGCCGGCATTACATTTGTTCACGCCATGCTTATTTTGGTGGAGTTAGTGGTATTTTTTATTGATATCCGACAAAAACAGAAAAGTTTTATTCAACTTATATTTTTTTACTTATTATTGATCATAGCCTTTCATTCCTTATGTATATGCGTACAAGTTAAGACTCACAGTGTATTAATTCGGCAGAAAATTTAAATAATGTTTTTGAGTATAAACCCAAATTACTAGAATTTTTTCTTTTTCCAACATAGCTTTTATTAATAAATAATAATAGTATGTTCAATTAGAGGAAATACTAGTTTTCAACTTATCGACAATACAAGTAAATCTTTATTGATGTGAAAAATACATCAACGTACCACGCATGTGAACTGACCAAAGTTTCCTCAACAATAACAACAATAAAAAATCTCGTTATGTTCAGAAGTGATAATAAAGTCAATTTGAAAAAAGAATGAATATTAAAAGTTATTTGGTGTTCTATTATGATCTGTTTTGTTTATTATTTTTACTATAATAAGTGATAGAACTCAATTGGCGCTACAGACCACTACTGCTTCTAAAATTTAAAATTTCATATACTTTTCTGAACTTGACCCACTTTAACAAAAAGGATAGATTTAAAAAAATATTTTCAAAGGAAATAGCATATTATAAGGCATTCAGTAGTAAAATAAACGCTATTTGCCTTACGTTGTAATAGATCTGTATCTATTCGTGATGTTTTAAAACTGATAGCTTGAAATTTGTCAAAAAGTCCAGTCGTCAAATTTTATAAACAACGAAAAACAAGTATTCTTGTGTAATAAATGGCTAGTCGTTTAACAATTTGCGTTTTTCTGGCATGTTGGCACTTCTGTTAGTTAAACAAGCGATAAAATTTAATAGTACAACATATCCTGTTGTTCCACTCATGTTTCGTTCAAGTGTTGAAAAACTGTTTCTGGTTGTGTAAAAATCGTGCAACCGTTTTGTAACATGTTTAATAGTTTCACTAATGAGGATAATGATATGATTAATTAGATCAGTGTGACTATTGTTGTATGTTGTTGTTAGTGCACTGGCAACACTGTTTGGTGTTTGTGTGTAGTACCCACCTATGAATAGGAAGAAGATGAGCAAGCCTAATTCGCGCATGCTGGCTTTAAGCGTGCGCCCTAGGATCTGCAGGCCCTTACTATGCCGACTAAGTTTGAAGATGCGGAAGACTCGCACGAGCCGAATGACACGAAGAATGGCCAGCGACATGGCCTGGTTGGTGCTTTTATCTTGCGGACTAACAGGCGCACGTGGCAGGTTCAACGTGTCCTCCTCCTCAGCCACGACCGTGGCTAACGTAATAAAGTACGGAATGATGGCGATGATATCGATAAAGTTCATGACGTCCCGGAAGAAATGTAGCTTATTGGGACACGCCAGGAAGCGCACGGACAATTCGAACGTGAACCAGATGATGCAAATGGTCTCTATGAGGAAGAACGGGTCCGTGATGTCCGGCACTTCGTCCTCCTCTATCTTGGTGCCGTTGGTAGTCGTGTTGAACACCTTGTAGTGCTTGAACTCGGGCAGCGTTTCCAGACAGAAAATAACGATAGAGAGCAGAATAACGAACACTGAGATGATGGCGACGACGCGCGCCGCCTGCGACGACTCGGGGTACTCGAACAGCAACCACACATTGCGCTGGAACTCGTGCGATGGCAAAGGTTTCTCCTCCTCCTTGATGAAGCCCTCGTCCTCGCGGAACTTGTTGATCGCCAGCTCGCCCAGCTCGTAGAACTTGATCTCTTCGGAGAAGACGTCCAGCGGCACGTTGACGGGACGCCGTAACCGACCGCCGCTCTGGTAGTAATACAGGATGGCGTCGAAGGAGGGCCGGTTTCGGTCGAAGAAGTACTCATTGCGAAGCGGGTCGAAGTAGCGGATACGGCGGGCCGGATCACCTAGCAGCGTGTCAGGAAACTGATTTAGCGTTCTAAGTTGCGTCTCGAACCGGAGGCCGCTGACCTAAACAACACAACATAACAAGTCATTTCAACAAATACAAACACAAGCAATAACAAAAATAAAGGAAAAACACAAAAGTTAAAACTTGGAGCCGACGCGACGTTTGTTTTCTTCACAGATATCGTCAAAAAGGCGAAAATAGGTCTATTGGCTTGATAAGGGAGAGGTTATTATTGAGAACGTGCGTCACAATCTGCGTCGAAAAACAAGTTTAAGAATCGAGTAATGGAGACTTAAAAACAATCTCAGAATTTTTTGTACAATGTGTGTGATATAACAATTTGCCCTTAGAAAACAATTTTCTTATTAAAATTTGGATAAAAAATTAAATAGAACCCGATTTATATAAATAAGTAGGTATAGTTTCGAATTTGATAATCGGATTAATCGGATTAGAGAATATCCGGATTAAACGTAAGGAGTTTTGTATAGGTAAAACTATGAAAAATTTTTTTCATCATAATTATGATTTTCTCAGTCTCAATACTACAAACGAATAAAATAAAATGACAATCAACTGTTCGGATTCTCTCCGGAAAATAGACTGTATCCCGATGTGTGACTTTGTAGTCTAAAATGGCCCCTTAGTCTTTCTCTTTTTTCAGCTCGAACCGTTTCGTCCGGAAGTCCAAATTAGCGAGGGCCGGATTAGCGAGACTGAACTGTACTAAAAACCAAAACGATTGTTTAAAGTTGACTATATTTATTTAAGATCTAAATTAAATCTAAAGCATGTTTTTTACTTTTCACCCTTCTTACTCTCCTTATTTAACGAAAGAGTTTCTTAATGAAAGCGATCAATAATCGCGTAGCGAACATGTTATAATATAATAACAAATAAGTTGGTTGCAATATTTTTTAATCGATTTGAAGGTATGCATAATTTTTTGACAATAAATACAGTGTTGGCATTTTTACCTATAAAACCATTAATTGTTATTATTGAACGTTATAAACAAGCATTTTTTAAATATTAGTAAACAGTAAATTTGGTGTTATAATTATTTCTCCACGTACAACATAACAGCTATTAAGCTATTATTATTGTGTTGTCTTCAAAATTTTTTCCAACACTAATATTGCATCAGAAATTTTAGTAAGTTCAGAAATTGTTATAAAGAAATTTGTCAAAATAATGTCAAGATTGGCAAAATGCCAAAATAAGTGTATTTTATGATGAGATTGACGACGTATTTTATAGAAAACAACATAAGACGTAAGCCTCAAATGCACCATTGAAACAATGTAAGATATTAGTGTTAGAAAAATAGCTGTAAACAGTGAAATCAGAATAAATCAGAATGTTGTAAAAACTGTGTTAAGATTTTGTTTGATTATTTTAGTGAAAAATTCTGTCATCTGTCATTAAGCTTATAAAAATTATTATTTTAATAAAAAGAGTTTTTTCGTTTAACAACAAGAAGAGAGAGACAAGATAAGAAGAAACTTCAGAGAACAAAAAGATATTGCAAAAATTCCAAAATTCGATTTGTGAAGTCTTTAAAATAGAGCAAAATAGATAAGTGTAATAAAGAAATGTGTATCTAGGTATTTGTTTCTATGTTGTTCTTAAATAGATACTTAAATGAAGGATAACAAATTCTATAAAATGTATAACTTAGAAATATGAAAATGTCTGATTGCACAGTATGATTTTTTCTCTTTTATTGAATTTGATTTTAATATTATATCGGGTGCGCCAGAACTCGTAAGTCAAAATGCAAAATTTAAACTCTCATAACTTCGAAATTTTTAACATTTTTTCCATGTTCCTGGTATGTTACCTTACATGGTATTTTTTCTGGGGCTCGAGTTCTGGCGCATACTGAATAGATTTTTCTTTGTCGCAAAAATCTCAAAAAGAGGAAGATGAAAAACGACTAAATAATTCGGTTATATTATGTTCTTATTTACTGTAATGCTTTGGAAAATTTTTACACAGAGAAGGTAAGTTTTAAAGTGAGATAACTACTTGTGTTGTTGTCTAAAAATATACTTCCTACATGCTATTTTTCTTAAAAAATTTAAGTAATTACGTTGAAAATAACATCAGTAACTCGCAATTCAAAAACTTAATCTAAGGCTAAATATCTCATGCAGCAATTGCTAGCACTAAAGTAGTTAACTCTTTTGTAGTTTTTGTATCTTATGGATATTTAATTCAAAAAAATCCTTACGTTTATCACGACTCTTTCACAAAAGTCGTGGTCGTGCGGGATGGGCTCAAAGTGGGCTACGCCAGTGAACTGGGAGTGGGGGGTGTGCCCGTCCTCTTCCTGGCTGCTGAGCTTGGGCAGCGACCTAAAACAAGAAAAGTTTGCAAAAAAAGTGCCCAAACCCCTCTTAAATTCATGCACATTAACACTTTTTCAGCAACCACAACACATCAACTCTGATCGACTACCAATACAAGAAGATAACAAATACCAGAGGTTACATAAATAACTTTGCCTTCATTACCGTTTTTTGTCACTATGATAGAACGTATGTAAAGCAACTTCGCAACAATTTGTCATCACTGTCGCTCATGGAGGAGACTAGTGTTCAAAGTTTCTTTAGCATACTGAGAGAACTGATAACACACAACCAACAAAAACTTGCCGTGATAATTGAGGCTCATGTTTCTTTATCATACTCGACCTAGTGATTGTTATTGCAACAACAATAAAAATTGCTAGGTTTAAATAATGAAACCGAGCTTCATGAATAATCAATGCTGTATTGTTGCAGTTGTTTGGTATTAAATCGACCCACAAATTTACTTTTGACAAAAATAATCAAACCTTTTTGATGCGGACATTGTTCAAAACAAAACTGCACTTGCAGTAAACAAAATTAGTCACATATCTCCAAGCGGAAACTGTTATCGAGAACAATTTCCGTAAATAATAATTAGAATTACTTTAATTGTAACAACTAATTAAGCGAATAGTGTGGGCGAATTTGCGATTCGCTTCCAGTAATTTTCGTCTCCATGACCAACGACAAAGAAAAAATGTAAATTTGCAATGTTAATGGTTACTTTATCCTAATTTCAGATTTTTGTGTTTGTTGATAAAGCTGTCTTTTTTCAAACAGTCTTAACCTAATATCGATCCCGTTGATAGTTTCCAGTTGGTGCATGTCTCACAGCAGTCTTAAATTCAAGTCGTATCCAATCAAAGCTTCGGTTGAATGTATAGTACAAATTGTTGACGTTTATTCAGTTTGAATTTAGAAGCGCACTTTGTGAAAAGGACGTCATCACAGTTGTTAAATTTCGCCACTTGAACCTCTCAATCTTTTCAATATATTCAAATTAAAAATAACTTGGTGATGAAGTCTTCAATAGACGAGTTAATTACAAAGTTTCTAGCCGCATCACCCACGTCAGCGAAATTTATTTATTGTTTCAAGCCAAGATTAACCGATATAAGAAAGCATTATTCCGTGTGAAATTTTTATTCGGCTCACCCGATTCTGGAGCGGCGTTTCGATCTTTTATTTCTTTTCTTCAACGAGATCAATTCGCTCTTGTGGTATCTCACCATTAAGAGGTGCTTCTCTAAATAACAAATTAATCTCGACACTTTCCAGAAGTGCATTCGTCGAACAGCGACCATAAGAGAAATCGAAATCCTATATAACACTACAACACTCAATTTCACCAACTGACAGTTCCATCTCGTTTACGCTGCTAATGACTAATTGATCGACGGCGAGGAAGTCGTAACTACTGCAAGAATTACTCGGTCTGCCAGCCGCAGTAATATCCTTGGCCTTGATATCAGAGTTACTTTTATAAGACTTCTTGAGCTGGCGGCATTTCGATGCAATCAATGCACGAAGTGCACCTAACATGCAAATGAACTAATCAAAACAATATTTCTTTCAGTTTAACTGGAAGGTTTTTTCCTTTTTTTAAAGCTTTCGTCTCAAGTTTGGAAAATAAATAAAATTTAGAGTAGAAACGGAGGAAATGTGTCAGTTTTGCTCTTGGAAAAATGAAGGGAAGCTAGCAATTTTCGATAATATCTAAGGAGCTCTTAAAATTTCTGCTACATTCACTATTACATGTTCTATCAACAATCTGCAGCAAGTGCCACTAGAAAAGACTAACTACAAACCGTAAAATAAACGGGGTGCCTGCGAATGCATATACATGAACACTAGTAAATTTGTTTAGAAATTTTGCGTCCCGACGAATTTTTACACTGATAACCGCTCGAACGTGATGCGGGATTACATAAACTCGGGAAAAACGCGAAAGAACGTCTAATTGCCGAATAGCGTGTATTTTAATCAATATCAGTGTCAGAAATGGATAATTTAAGGGTATTTTTTACGTCGGAACGCGTTTAAACTTTTACCATCTTCCCTACATCAATCTTGACAGTCATGAAAGAATTACAAAAGTTAAATCGGTGCAGACCGGGAAGTTAAAATTGGTATATTCGGTGCTAATTGATTTTCTCCACGAGATGGCTTTATTAAAAAAACATTTAGTGACGCAAATTCTTTACTCCCGAAATAAATTTTAATTGAAATTACTCGAGTTGTGTGTGTGACAAACTATCCGAAAAAATGCCACTATGACAAACATACAAATAACTAGCTCAAAATAGAATTACTGAGTTTGCAGAAGCAAAAAGTGCTCAGTGGGTTTAAGAGCCACACTCAAGTTAAGTCGGTGAAGCGGTCGAATAATGTCTACGATGCTCCCACACTTACAACTTTCAGAATATAGATTGAAAACAATTTCGAAAGCTAATCACTTTTTCAGCATTTTAAACCAAAACAATCAGAACTGTGACCCAAATGTAAAAATATCAGGGTAATCGCCCACTACCCTGCGCATCCACCAAAATTCCCAATATTGGTTATCGCAGTCTGCAAAACAGTGTTTATTTTGTTTGTAATTAGTTTTAGTAGTAATTTAAGTATGACGATGAAGTGAATTACGGTCAAAACTGTTTTCATGTTTACGCACACTTCAATCTAAAATATTCACTTCATGAGTGATCGTCTTACTGAAAACATAAAAATTTATTTATCACAAAGCGAGCTCTTGAGTAAATGAAAGTGTGGTTTATTTAACTTAGGCAAAATTTTGTTGTGAAAATTCCTTTCGAAATATTTGGGACAATTAAAATCAAACTAGATTGAAGTCAATGTGGCCTGTGTTATTATTAAACCCAGACTCAAACATTCGTACAATGAATGCAAACACAGCAGATCTGAGCTGTGTAATGCAGTGAGATGTTAATCCACTTTAAGTTTTACAAGTGCGAAATGTTGTAGGTACAGTTTTTGTTAGACAGTTTGATTAAAAACTATTTTTCACGTTGATAAACAAAAATTAAGTGTATCTTTCTCTCAGTTCCAATAAAATTCAAAATGGTCGAGAGTTTGAAGTAAAGATATCGAACCTGTCTACAGTAATAAAGATATAGGTGCTGAAAACCCATTTACCTCTTGAATTTTACTGTCGTCGATATAAATATTCGAATAGAGAAGAGGTTCTGTCTTTCTTGAAAATTTGCAAGTGGGTAATTGAGGGTACATCCATGAATTTAATTATAGAACTACTATGATTCTAATAGATGTTTATAGATGAGCTATTTAAAAATCCATTTCTTCTAGTAATAATGGAGGTACTTAGTGACGCCAACTACTTTCTTAATGGGATAAAGTTCGGACAGCTCGTAAAGAATTGCATCCTAGCGCAGGAATAATTTTTCATTCATTAAGACAATGCATCATAATTTCGCTGAAACGTGGTTAAACATTTAGCCGAATCGCAATGATGTTCTCAGCGTCGGTGATAAAATTTTCATTTCATTTTTAAGGAGTTGAAGAGCACTCCCGGAAAAACCAAGAGTCATCAGTAATGAATTCCAGATTTCGTCGAGGAATGCTTGGATTCCTGTCCGCGTCGCAAGTTGTCCTTGCGCGTCACTTCTTATGAATTATGGTGTTCCTCTCATTTCGAGATTGCTATAAATCACGGAATTATGCAAAACATGTCAAGAAATCGTGCGTGGATAGATGCGTTTTATTGCGGGGGGTTGATAACAGTGACGTCAGAGAGGTGTTGTTGGCCTGCCAGCAATTTTCCCCGCTCCACCCCAAACTAGTGACGTCAGGACGAAATGTAGGTCGCTTTGCAGATGCCGGCATAGGAAAATCGTCCAGAAAGCGGTGCAAACTGCACCATGAAGATCACAGCTAAATTTAGAAGGCTTTCTGTTAAGAGTCCTCCTGGAGTCCTCTTATAATTAGAGTCGGCGCTTTTGTCACATGACTTTTCTTGCCAGACTGTCGGGAGTCAAAATAAAGACTCGTTATGACCGGCTTTTATTACCTTGCTACGCTAAACCGTATCCATTGATTATTTGAAAACAGCGAGTTTATTATTTGAAGAAATTGTTTAATCCTGAACTTGAAGCAGTGTTTCCTCGGCGAAACAATTCCGTGACCTGTCTTATCTTCGGCCAAACTCGACCTTTGGGAAGCCATTACTTTCCCTCGGCTTTCTTCAAGGTGTACTGTCACTGCAGAGGGAATCGTAACACAATACGGAGCAAAAAGTCGATGCCACAATGATCCTTAATCGGATTATAAAAGAACAAAAATTCAGCGTTTGATTATTTATTACTGTAATAAGTTAAGGTACTAATTTCCTTTTCGGAGTGCACACTCGCGAGATATCGACGATGGTTTCAGATAAATCTGCAAGGGAAATTATGAACCGCTGGAAATGCCTTTACAGGAAAGTTGTTGACAGTGATGATGATAAGACTTGCAAAAATGCGATTTTAACAAGAACCGGCAATCGTCAATCGGTGAGTGCCGCACCGGGAAAAATAATCGCCTCAACGATAACGGAATTTTTCACTTGAATATGTCACACAATAAAATCTTATACTGAAACCAGTTTCGTGCAAGACACTTGGCCGATTTTTGGTGGTTCTCTTCCTTCGCAGTAGAAGTGACAGAAGGAAGTAATCAATAATAATATTAATACATGCACTATAATTTTAGATAAGTTAAATAATTTCGGATCTATTTTGGTAACATCCGTCTAAATAGTGTATATCTGCGTATGTGGTTCTAAAAGCATCTTTCTTATGTCATTTTATTTATCTTTAATATCATATTTTTGAGGTATTATTATTAATATGGATCTCGTTTTTATTGGTTTGAAGGAGAAGGAAGATGATTCATTCGGGTAATAATTCTGTATTAAATTAAATCTGTTTTATTGTGGAATAGCTTTGGATGACTGATTAGACCGAGTTGATAGAGTATCGTTTTCCCTT